AGGATAAATCTATGGGATTATAGTTTCATCAAGAATGTTTTAAATTTAGAAATATATGATCCATTAAATGTAATATATAAAATCTTACAGCTTGTTTGAAATTGAACTGTTTAATTTTTTAAAAAAAAAATGATCTTTTTTTAAAAATTTATAAATTTTTTTTAATTTTAAAAAAAAAATTTTCAAAAATTTTACTTACACCTTTTTTTTGATTTTTTTTTTTTGATCGATCTATTTTAGTGAATTGCAATGAAAAAAAATATAAATATAAAAAAATTAAGATAAATAAACAAATAAAATAATTAAAAAATAAAAAAAAAAGAAAAAGAAAAAATTAGTCAGAGTTGAAATTAATTAAAAACAAAAAAAAAAAAAATAATGGCTCCACCCAAAATATTATGATAAAATATTTGTTTGTTTGAGTATTAATCTACAAAAAAATTTAAAAAAAATTTTGAAAAAATAAAAAAAGAAAAAAAAAAAAGAATTTTTTTATTTAAATAAAAAAAAAAAATATAAATAAAAATAAATAAAAACAAATTTTAAAATAAAATAAAATTAAATAAAAATAAAAATAAAAATAAAAGTTTTAAAAATAACCATAAACTTTGTTTTCGTTTGTTTGTTTGTTTGTTTGTTAATGATTATTGTGTATTTGTACCTTTTAAAAAATATTTTTTTTAGGGGCACAATGACGAATTATTTTATTGAAAATAAATTTATTATTACAAATAACTTAAGAATATACGATAGTGATAAATAAAATAAAGTTATAATTGAAATAAAAAAAACTTTTTTTTTTATATAAAAAAATCAAAAACGGTTTATTTCTTTTTTATTCATTTTATTATTTATTTTATTATTTAATTTTATTATTTATTTCTTCCAAAATTTTTTTTACATGATATGGCTTGTGATTGTATGATGATGCTAATAATAATAAACCAAAAATTTAAAATAATTAAACACAATATTAACTTACACCCCACACCAACACAAATATTTTTATTTTAATTTTTTTTTAATAAATAAACAATTGTTTTAAAATAAACAAATAATAATAATATTTTAAAAAAATTGAACTTTATATAAATATTAGATTATACAATAATAAAAAAAAAAAATATTTTATTATAATATATTAATTATATTATTATTATTATTATTTAAAAAAAAAATACACCAAAAAAAAAAAACTTTAACAATTATTGGGGCTTTTTGATTCAAAAAAAAAATATATAATTAGTTTTTATTATTTTATTTTCATGCACAAAAATGATATAAACACACAAATTTTATCTTTTTTTGTAGGTTTACTAGCCAGAAGATATTTTTTTTTTTTTTAATTAAAATTTAAAATCTGTGCTTTTATGTATTGTTTTATTTGAATATATTGAACTTCTAAATATATTTATTTTTTTAATTTTAATTATTTATGATTTAAAAGGGATTTTTCACCCAACAATTAATACTTCAATGGACTGAAAAATTTCTTTGCAAAAAAAAAAAAATTGACCTTTTTAATACTTTCCTGGGTTCGCCCCTTACTAAGTGGAATTTTATATCCGGGTTGAGGTCAACTCTAACATTTTTGTACACTATAGTATTTATCCACACACAATAACCTTAAATGAAAATTAAATATCTTTTTTTAAATTTTATTACTATTTAAAGTTTATAATGTTTGGGTTTAACTCCACCTCTGACATTAATAAAATATAATCTGATGCATTTTTTTGTAACTTTATCTTCCACCAATACTAAACAATGTCTTACATGATGATATGATAAATGTAAATAAGTACCAATTACAGGTTTAAATATTTGATCGGTCATTAATTAATGCTGGTATCCTTTTGATTCATTTCTGAAAATAGCTGGACATACATTGATCTACTTCTTGCATACAGGCAATATCAGCATCGTAAAATCTGTGGAATTAGTAAAAGGCTTCTATAGGTATTCCACTCTAATGCATATGATGGTAAATGGTTATAGTACAATTTTGATACATAAAGGTCGGCTAAAATGTTAAATGTAATGATTTTGAATTGATTTTTTTTATTTGAGGTCTCGTTGATTCTTAATGTTTCTCTAGTATTTTCAAATAATATTTTTTGGGTAAAGTCTATTATGATCTCTTTTAAAGAACCAAGGGAGGAGTATAAAAATAAGTTTGAAAAGCCACCACGACCTTTTTTTGTTGAATGATAGTTGGTAATAGTTTCATATGAATTCCATATTGGCTTGGTCTCTTGTTGGTGTATATGTAAATGCTTTTTCTGAAATATTTACCTTTGATGTTACATCATCATCTCCTACTGTCCATTTATATTCTAATATATGTTTTTTTTCTATTGAAATATTTTTATTAGAACTATTGATAATGGTACATAAGCTACAGGTTTTGGAATCTTTAAAATATTTTCATTATCATAAAAAACATGTTTCTCAATTTTTTCTTTTTTATTTGCTGTTATTGTAGTTGCTGGTGGGTATGTCGGTGGTGGAGGTGAGGTGGAGGTGGTTTGGGTGCACCCGTAGTAGTTTTAGTTATAGTTGTATTAGTATGTTGACTATCTGGTTTGATATTTAATTCTTTTTTTATTTCCGTTATGATATTTTTTTAAAAAAAAAAAAAAATAGTTGTGAAAAAAAATAAAAAAATTAAAAATTAAAAATTAATTTTTAATTTCAAAAAAACAGATAGTTGAAATTTTTGTCTTAGCTGGTCATATATGGGAGACCCAGCGTTTCATTTAACCCTCTCTTCTAAAAAAACTGAATAAAAAATAAATCACTAAAAAAGTGATACATTATATAAAAATAAAAGTAATAATAACTAATGATTAAAGAGAAAAAAATATTGAAAAGGTATTTTATATAATTTTAAATTAATTATTTTATGGTTGATTAATGAGATTGTTTATATATTATCATCATAATCATTTTGATAATAAAAACCCAATTGGATTCTTTTGATAATGATTTTCTATATTAATTTGTTTATCCAGAATCCTTTCTCTTTTTCTAATATGAAAATCATCTACAATAAAAATATTATTTTTTTTTTTCTTTTGATTTTTTTTAATTATTTTATTTTATTTTATATTTTTTTTTAATTTTATTTACCTTTTTTTTTTAAAAATTTTTTTTTTTTAATTTTTTTTTCAATTTTTTTTTTTTCAATTTTTTATTATTTATTTTTTTCTATATATTCTAAATTATATTAAACTAACGATATATATTTTAATTTAATTTACTATATAAAAAAGCGATTATATTTAATAATAATAACGATAAATAATAATAATAGAAATAGTTATTAAAAGATCAAAAATTAAATATAATCAAATAAATATAAAAAATGTCGATAAAATTAAGAGATTTAATTAAAACAGTTAGAAGTTGTAAAACTGCAGCTGAAGAACGTGCACAAATCGCAAAAGAATCAGCACAAATTCGTACAGCTATGAAAGAGGAAGATGTAGAGTCTAGACAAAGAAATGTTGCAAAATTATTATACATTCATATGTTAGGTTATGCAACTCAATTTGGTCAAATGGAGTGTTTAAAGCTTATTGTTTCACCATCTTATGCTGATAAAAGAATTGGTTATTTAGGTTTAATGTTATTATTAGATGAAAAACAAGAGGTTTTATTATTAGCAACAAATTGTATCAGAGGGTATATATTCATAAATACATACACAAATATAATTAAAGGAAATATATTATATTTCAATGCAAGTACTATATACTAATTATATCCATTTTTTTTATAAATAGTGATTTCGTTAATCCAAATCAATTTATTGTTGGTGTTGCATTATGTGCATTCGGTAATATTTGTTCAAGTATGATGGCAAGAGACTGTTCATTAGATATCGAACAATTATTCCCACATTCCAACCCATACATTAGAAAGAAAGCAGCACTTTGTGCCATTAGAGTTTTAAGAAAAGTACCAGATTTAATTGAAAATTATATTCCAAAGATTAAAGCATTACTTTCAGAAAGAAATCATGGTGTAATTTTAACAGCACTCACATTAATCATCGAAATCTGCGAAATGGATTCACAACAAATTGTACACTTCAAAAAGATGGTACCACAATTAGTTAGAATTTTAAAGAGTTTAACATCATCAGGTTACTTACCAGAACACGATATTGGTGGTGTTACTGACCCATTCCTTCAAGTTAAAATCCTTAGATTACTCAGAATTTTAGGTCACAACGATCCAGAATCAAGCGATCTTATGAACGATATTCTTGCACAAGTTGCTACTAACACTGATAGTACCAAAAATGTTGGCAATGCCATTCTCTACGAATGTGTTCAAACTATTATGTCTATAGAGTCTGAAAATGGTCTTAAAGTTATGGCTATTAATATTCTCGGTAGATTCCTTTTAAACCGTGATAATAACATTCGTTATGTAGCCCTCAATACCTTAAGTCGTGTTGTAAACACTGATATTCAAGCAGTTCAAAGACACAGAAATACAATCGTTGAATGTCTTAAAGATCCAGATGTTAGTATTCGTTGCAGAGCACTCGATTTAATTTACTCTTTAGTCACCGAGTCAAATATTCGTGTTTTAGTTAGAGAATTACTCAACTTTTTATTAATTGCTGATGCTCAATTTAAATCTGAATTGGTTGCTAAACTTTGCATCGTTACAGAAAAATATGCACCAAATAAAAGATGGCAAATCGATACAATTCTTCGTGTTATGTCAATCGCAGGTAATTTCATTCCAGACGAAGTTCCATCAAATCTTATCCAATTAATTAGTTCAACACCAGAATTATCAAGTTATGCAGTCCAAAAATTATACTTGGCCCTCAAACAAGATATCACTCAACAACCACTCACCCAAGTTGGTTTATGGTGTATTGGTGAATATGGTGATTTATTAGTTGCCGATAAATCTCAATTACCAAAAGATGAAGAAGGTTTAGCTATTAATGTTACTGAACAAAATGTTATAGATTTGGTTGATTCAATTTTCAAACATGCCACTACTACACAATCAACTCGTCAATATTCTTTAACCTCATTAGCAAAATTATCATCAAGATTTTCACAAAATTCATTATTGTAAGTTTTATAGATTAGATATAGAAATACCTAAATACAAACGTACTTTAACCGGTCACTAATATTTTGATTTATTTAATTATAGACGTGTTAAATCAATGATCGATTTTTATAAACAAAATATTAATTTAGAATTACAACAACGTGCTTGTGAATATTCAACATTATTTGATTTTGATAAGAAAGCATCCATTTTAGATAGAATGCCACCAATCGAAAAACAAGAGGTCGAATCACCACTTCAAACTAAACAAATCCCAACCCAAACACCACCAACTCCACATCAACAACAACCACCATCCCAACAACAAAACCAACAATCTGGTGGTTTTGGTTCATTATTAGATGGACTTGATTCACCAACTACCAGCTCACAAAATGCTTCAAACGGTCAAAAACCACAAAACGCAATGTCTTTATTAGAGGATATTTTCGGTCCAAGTCCAGTTGCTCAAACTTCACCACAACAAAATATGAACCAAATGAATAATAATTTCATGAATATGAACATGAACGCAAACACTAATACAACTAATACAAATAATAATAATAATAATAATTCAGGAACAGCTCTTTTAGATTTAATGAGCGGTATTATGCCAACTCCATCACCACAACAATCACAACCACAATCACAACCACAAACACTTTCACCAAATAGCGGCGGTGGATTACTTCAACCAGTACCACAACCTCTATCTTTCCCAGCCTTCCAAAAGCATGGTCTTGAAATTTCATATGAATGTACTAAACCACAACCAAATAACCTTTCATTAACAAATATCAATATGATCATTACAAATACTGGTCCATCACCAATTACCAATTTTTCATTACAAGCTGCAGTTCCAAAATATTTAAAGATTCAATTACTTGCACCATCAAGTACAACAATCCCACCAAATGGTTCTGGTGAAGTTACTCAATTTTCTAAAGTTCTCAATTCACAACAAGGCCAAAAACCAATTCTTCTTCGTGTTAAACTTGATTTCCAAATTAATGGTCAAGCTTATTCAGAAGTTACCGATACACCATTACCATCATTATTTTAAATAATATTATAGATATAAAAAAGAAAAATTTAAAATTAATTAATTAAATAAATTATTAATAATATAAATAATATAATAATAACTTTTTAATATAAAATTTTTTTATTTTTAAAAATTTTTTTTTATAAAATATCATTGTTTATTTAAAATATTTCTATTGTAAAATTAAATTTATAAAAATTTTTCGGTTATACTTTTTGATTTTCATCACAAGTCTGTGTTTGTTGTCCTTTTTTTTTTTTTTTTTTTTGGATTTAACAAAAATAAAAAATTTTGGAAATTTTTTTTTATTTTTAAAGTAATAAAAAAAAAAGTAATAAATGTTAAAAAATATCTAAAATGTTCCACGGGCTCCACAATAATAAACATTGACAGGCCCAATAATGGGACACAACTTTTTTTTTATTTTTCGTACGAATTTAATTTATTTTCTTAAAAAAATACCTCAACAATTTTGCCCATCCAATAGATTAATTCAATTAATATTCGTAAAAAAAAAAAGATTTTTTAAAAAAATTTGCCCATTGACCCAAAAACATTAACAATTGCTCTTTAATAATATATGTTTTTGGGGCAAAGTCGGCTTAAAAATAATAATAAAAAAAAAATTAAAAATATAAAGTTTATAATATATATTTTAAAAATTTTATTGATTATCATAATTTATTATCAAATTAAAATCCGCTTCAAATAAAATACATACACAAAAATCATCCCTGTTAAAAAAAAAATCACAAAAAAATCCCCACCACATAACTTACACACACCCACAAATAAAAACTGGGTGGTTTTGAATTTTTTAAAAAAAATCAAACAAATCAAAATGTAATTAATAATTTAAATTATTTGATAATTAAAATATCCATATGATTGATTAAAAAATAATTTTTTCCCTTAAATTTCAGTAATAAAAATTGATATTTTATCAATCAATCATTAATGATTAATAATAATTTCTATTGAATTTCATAAGGAGACAATCAAAATCAAAATCAATGATATTTAAAAGTAAAAATATTTGAAAATAAAAGATAATGAGGATATTTAATTGAATTGTTTCAATAAAGATAAACAAAGGAAAAAAAGATATATTTTTATTAACAAATATATATACAAAATACATATATAAAAGAGAAATAAAGAGATAGAAATTTATACCTCCATAGAAACCCATCACATTTTATCACAAAATGAGTGAATGTGATTGTACTATAACCAAACAAAAAAAATATTAATCACAGAAAAAAAAAAAAAAAACCCAAACAAAAAAAAAAAAAAAAAAAAAAAAAAATGGTTTATAATTAATAATAAAAATTAAAATAAATTAAATTAAATTAACCAACTATCTATTTTTATAATTGATTTTTCAAAGGTTAACACAAAACTAAGTGAAAACTTACAAATTTTTTATTATTGGACTCCAATCAAAATCAAAAGTTGATTATTATTATAAAAAAAATAAAAAATACTTTGAATTGGGGGGTATGTAATTTATTTTTGTTTTTTTAACCAGTATTTTAATAAAAACATTCTTTTAATTACTTTAAATTATGGGGGTGACGCATAAGTAGATCTGAAACAAAAAGCGGTTAACAAATCTTTGCATTATTTTTTATTTTTAATCACACTACAATCCTATTTTTAATTAATTTATGACCTTTTTTTCTCTTATTTATTTTTTTAACTACAATAATGTTTTTTCGAAACACATTATGTGTGTAGTTTTTTTCTAAATTTAATATTTTTTACACCCCATTTTTTAAAAACACATTTTTTCACACACACACATCCTCCAATCAATCATCAAAAGTAATTTAAAAATCTAATAATCAATAAAAAAAAACCCCCCCCAACACTTTAAAAAATGGAAAAACACCTTTTTAAAAACAATTTTAACATGTTTTTTTCAAAGCAATTTTCTTTTCTTTAAAAACACAACACACACACTTTAACAAACACATTTGTGACTTTTGAAAAAAAAAAAAAATTTTAAAAAAAAAGTTTAAATTGTACACTAAAGTTTTTTCAATAAGAAATTATTTGAAGAGAAAAAAAAATGGGGGTGTGATGTGTTTTTTTTTATTTTTTTTCACAAAAATTTTTTTTATTTTTTTTCGCTCTAACTAAAAAAAGAAATTTTTAAAGTTTTAATTTATTTAATTAGATTTCTATTATTTAAATTTTTTGTATAAATATTTTCAAAATTTTTTTTATTATTTTCATTCATCCAACAATACAAAACAAATAAATACAAAACAAATAATAGTAAAATAATTTTAATAAAATACCAAAAACAATAATAAAAAATAATTTTCTTTTTTTGAAATAAAAATAATTCCTTATATTAAAATGCCATCAATCAATAACAATAATCAAATGAATAATTTAATCAAACAAAATGTTTACCAACATGGTGAACAATATGAAACTATTCCAGAAAATACCAATATTTTAATTTTCCACAATCGTTTTAATTTAACTATTAAACCATCATATATTCCATCATCAGTAACCCATATTATTTTCGGTGCTTTTTTCAATAAACAAATTTTAATTAATACATTTCCAAAAGGTGTTCAATTTATTCAATTTGGTAACCAATTTGACCAAGCTATTATCCCATTATCCATTCCAGATACAGTACAACAACTTACTTTTGGTGATTGTTTCAATCAAACAATGACTGAAGGTTGTCTTCCATCATCTATTATTAAATTAGTATATGGTGATTGTTTCAATCAAGAATTAAATTGCAATAGTGTTCCATCATCAGTTAAATATTTAAAACTCGGTTCATACAATAGACAAATTAAAGATTTAAAGAAAGGATGTGTTACTCAAGATAAAATCATCTCTTATAAAGTTAAAGGCTCCTTACCATCATCCATTGAACAATTATCTTTTGGTCCAACTTTTAATCAAAACATCCCAGATGAAATTATTTCCTCATGTATTAAAGTTATCTTGGTACCAAAAACATGTACCTATAATTCAAGTTCAATTTATTTTGATAAAATTAAATGTTTTTAAAATTATCAAATTTATTTTCTACAACTTATTTATTGCTCAAATATTAAATTAAATTTTAATATAAATTCCAAACCATGTATTTTTAGTGTAAATTTCCGATCAACAATAACAATTTTTTATATTTTAAAAAAAATAAATAAAAAAAAAATAAAAGGTTTTTTTATATCGATTTAAATAAAAGAAAAATAACATTACATTAGTTTTATTAAAATTTTCATTTTCATTTTTTTTTTAATTTTTCATTTAAATTTTTATAGTTGTTTTTTGAAATTATTTCAAAATTATGAATTGGTCCTAATTTGTTTAAGAGCGAACTTTATTTTTTTGATTAAACTGATAGCCATAAAATAGCTACACCTAAATAAAGATATCAAAAGTAGAAGGTTAATAATTTATTTAAAATTTTTTATAAATGTAATAAGATAATTATTTATATTATAAATGTTAATAAAAAAATTAAAAGATATTATTTTATTTGTTTTTTTTTTATTTTTATTTTTTTTTCTTTTTGAAATTATGTATAATTTAATAATTCAAATTATATCTAAAAACCACCACAAATGTTGGGTTTTATTATTTTGTTTATTTATTTGTTAAATTTTTTTTTTTTTTATAAAATATGTTTTTTATTTTTTAATTTTTTTTTATCTTTTTATTTTTTTATATTTTACTGTTTATTTGTTTATTTATTTTATATTTTTAAGGTAATAAAATTGGATAGTTATTAAAACCAAATATTTGGTTTTATGAATATAGAAACTATTTCATTCAAAGGAATTAATGGCAATAATATAAAATAGTAAATAAAATAATATTTTAAAATAAAAAAAAATTTTCAAATAATTTTTTTAAAGGTTTATAAAAATAAAAAAAATTAAAAAAAAATTAAAAAAAAAAAAAAAAAAAATCAAAAACCATCAATTGATTTTTTTTTAAAATAACAATAATAATTTTATTTATAAACATTTTTTTATATAATAAAAAATAAAAATATTTAAAATAGATATAATAATATAGGTAATAATATTTTAAAAAAAAAAATGGATAGGATAGAGTTCACTAATCGAAGATTAAGTGATCATATATTATCAATTGGTGTTGTTGGTGTTGGAGTTTTCATAAGTGCAGTTTATGAAAGTGTTATTTTGGGTTTAATATTTTATGCATCAGTTTTGTTTGTAATATCATATACTTCAAGAAATAATAATAGTAATGATATAATTGATGTTACTGAAAAAGTAACTAAAAAGGTCGAATCAATTACATCAAAAATAACAGAGTCACCTTTAAAAAATAACAATAGTAATAACAAGGCAACAATTTCAGCCACTTTATCATCAACTACAACAACTACAGTCGAATCAGTAAAAAATTTAACTCCATCTAAAAATAGTGTTACACCAATTGCTAATAGAACTCCTCCACCACCACCAAATAGACCTGCTCCATCACCAATTAGCACTCCTGTTAAAAATCTAGCACAATCAACTCCTACTTCACCAATAACACCACAAGCTACTACTAATTCATACTCGGTTAGCGCACCCAATACACCTACACCAACCCCAACTCCAACAAACTTCTCATCGACCAATACAACACCATCATCATCGCCAATAGCACCAAAGCCAAATATCCCATCATCCCCACCACAATCTTTACCACCATTACCACCATTACCATCAGTTAAAGTTATTACAAATAATCAAACAAAGTCTGAAGCTATAATTGAAAAAGGTAAAAAGATTGGTAAAATTATCCCACAAATTCCGGGTGCTATTACCGATATCAAAAAAGAATTTAAAGAGACTAGCAAAGATAAAAAGAGTATTTCAACATTAAGAGGTATTATTGGCGGAGTCTATAAAAATATATCATCTCCACCACAATTATCAGCAGAGGATAAAGAAAAAGAACTAAAAAGAAGAAAAGTTGCTGAGGAGATTCTTCAAACCGAAAAAGTTTATGTTGGAAAGTTAAAAGCTATCAATGATGTATATTTAACTCCATTAAAAGTTGCAGCCACTGAAAATCCACACCCACCATTAACACTAGATCAAATTCATACAATTTTCTCTGAAATCCTTACAATTTATAATTACAATTCTCATTTATTACATAAATTAGAAGAAAGAATTAAAGATAGCTCAACCATTTTAAATATTGGCGAGTTGTTTATATCAATCGTTAGTATACAATTTTACCAATATAATTACTAAATTTTTTTTATTAACTTTTTTTTTTATCTAGACTGATTTCTTAAAATCATACAAAGGTTATATCAATAATTATCCAAAAGCAATGCAAACCCTAGAAAAAGTTAAAAAGAATCAAAATGTTGAATTATTATTACAAACCTTTCAAGCTAACCCAGCATGTGATAATTTAGATCTAAACTCACTTCTTATCATGCCAGTACAACGTATCCCAAGATATATCTTATTATTATCAGAGATTCTCAAATATACAGATTCAAAGAATTCAGATTATGACAGCTTAAAGAAAGCATTAGATAAAATGAAGGATTTGGCTAGCGAAATTAATGAAAACAAGAGGGATTCGGAACTATTAAGTAGAATGTATGAAATTCAAAACTCTTTAGAAGGTTTCACACTTGGTGATTTTATACATCCTTCAAGAAAATTGGTATTAGATAATGAATTTTATGAAAAGGTATTTAAAACTAACAGCCCAGCTCCACCAAAGAGTTCATCATCTCCAAGAAGATATCTTTTATGCAATGATATCTTATTACGTTGCAAGGTAAAAGGAAAAAAGCTTATAGTAATCGAAGTATTTGATATCAACGAAATTATCTTCAAAGAAATGGCTGGTGAAAAATTATCAATTGTCTCTAAAAGCCAAACTGATGTTATTGTTTTAAAATCCGTAGATGAAAATCAAGAAGAGAAATGGTTAGACTCAATCAATCATTGGAAAAAAATTAATCTTGAAAATAAAAGTTCATTCAAAAGATTAAGTTCAAGTTTGGGTTCAGAATAAAAAATATTAAAATTAAAAATAAAAATAAAAATGTATTTATAAATAATTTTTCTAAACTTTTAATTTATTTTTTAAAAAAAAAAAAACTATTATTTGGAGAATTCTAATTAAACTTTTATGATTATATTAAAAAAGTATTTAAACAAAATTTTATGTTTTCTAAAAAAAATCATTTTTATTTGGAAAATTAATTATTAATTTTTTTATTTATTTTTAGATAATTATTCTTTAAATCTTATTTATAAATTATTTAAAGATAAAATTTTATTTTTAATTTTTAAATTTTTTTCCCACAACAAAATTTTATTTATTTTTATCCAATTATTTTTTATTTATTAATTTTAATTTAATTTATTTTTTTTTTTTTTTTTTTTTTTTTATATTTATTTGTATATAAATATTTTTTTTTTTTTTTTGACCTTTTTAAGAATATTTTTAAAAAAAGACAAAAAGCTATGGATATAAATAAACAAAAAACCAAATGGGATATTTCTATTTTTAAAAATGAAAATTTTACATTGCCTGTTATTAAATCACCATTTAACACATATTATAATAAATATATAGATAGTGTAATTAATGATATAGAGGAGTGGCACAGAGAATGTTGCTTCTTAGGTAGAGAAAAATTAAAAGGGTATATAGAATCAAAACCATATCTTTTTTCTGCTTATTACTATTGCCATTTAAATGAAAAGGTATTACCTTTTATAATAAAATTTGTAGATATGTTTTCCATTTATGACGACGAATATTTAGAAAAAACAAATTGTTCAGAGGATGTTATTAATCAATTTTTGGATAAAAATTATAAAGATAAAAACATATATGGGGTAGAATGGTTTAAAATAGTGGAAGGTTTAAAAAAATATGGAAATAAACAATCAGTAAACAAATTTTTAAAAGAATTCGAATTTTTTATTAAAAATGTGCATTCAATACATTTAAAAGAAAATGCTAATTATACAAATATTAATTTCGAAGAATATACAAATACTAGAAGTATAGATTTTGGTTTTGACTTGGTTGTTAGTGCCGCCATTATAGATTGCGAAGAGCCATCAAAAGAAATAAGAGAGAGCTCTTTATTTTTAACATTAAATACAAAAAGCTCAATTATATGTGTTCTAGTAAACGATATATACTCTTTTGTAAAAGAATCAAAACAACCAGATACTATGAATTATGTAAAAATTATGGCAAATAAAAAGAAATCAATTCAAAAAGCTTTAAATCATACAAATAAAATAATAAATAATACTTTAAAAGAAATAATATCAATTGAAAATCAAATAAAAATGCAGTATAAAGAAAATAATCTATATCAATATATTGAAAGATTAAATTCAGTAATTTCAGCAACCATTTATTTGCATCAAAATCACAAAAGATACAGTGTTCACAACAAAAACTATATCAATAAAAATAATTAAAAAAAAAAAAAGCTTATTATTAATTAATATAAAATGGATGTATTTATTTTATTTAATTTTTTTTGGTTATTCTCTTTTCATCAATTCTTTGTTTAGGTATTTGGAATGATGGTGCAATCCATTGTCCACAAGAACATTGTTCTCCACTCCATGACCAAGAGCCAAGTTTTTCTTTACAGTTTAGACAATTGAGTTTACCACTCATACCTTCTCCGGTTTGGTTTAAAACAAATTCTATTTCACTAATAAAAAATGATGTACAAACTACTTTTTTGGCTGCTGCTTCTTTATTTTCTGAAAGATTTAAATCTCTTCTATGGAATTTGAATGATGATTGACCTTCACCCTGTTCATGGTCCAAAATATCATAGTCTAAAAATAATTCAGTTGAGCACTTTCTACAACAATATCTATATACACCCAAAGTTGCTTTGTTATTATTTGATTCCTCCTCTGTTTCTTCTTGAGTATTATTTATATTGTCACTATTGTTATTAATGTCATTATTTTCACTACTTGGCGATGATGATGATGATGAAATTGAAATATTAGAAATACTAGCAGTGGTTTGTTCAACGGTAGCCTTTTGATTAACTTTTTTATCTTTTTTAACAACATTATCATACTCTTCTTCTTCTTCTTCTTCTTCTTCTGATTCTTCATCTTCTTCATCCTCATATTCTTCTTCTGTATCATAGCCATCATCTTCATCCTCCTCTGATTCATCATCATCTGAATCATATTTGGGTGAATATAATTTGAATCTAAGATTTGTGCTAATTGGAACAATGATACCTTCTTTTAACTCAGCCTCTAAAATAATAGAAAACTTTTATTAATGATTTAATATTTTATAAATTTTATTTTATTAAACTTACCATATTTTTTTAATTGTTTAACGAATGATTCATTTGGGAAAATAATTGGTCTTGCATCAAATAATAAACCATGGGCATCTTCAAATGAAATTCTTAATTTTCTCATACAATATGCAATACAAATTGTGGCTGATCTTGAAATACCAGCAAAACTAATATAAATCCATTAGTACTATGTCAATATTAACAATATTTACAAAATATATTAAAAACCTACCAGTGTACCAAAACAGCACCTTCTCTTCTACCTTCTTCAATAAATTGAAAAGTCTTTTCAAAATATTTCTTGATGTCTACAGATGGGGAATCGTAAATATCGATATGTAGATAGCTATACATATTGGTCCATTTTGGTCTAAATTCATTTAAGATACTGAGAATGTGTGTAATTTGATGTTTATCCAAGTTACCTCTATTTACAGCTGGCAGTGAGCCAATATAAAATCCTGGAAATATTTTTGAAACATCATTCATTTTGTTTTTTTATTTTAAATTCTTTTTATTTTTATTTTTATTTTTATATAAATTTTAATTTTACAAATACTAGTGTTATTGAAACAAAGAAAAAAAAAAAAAATAAGTGTAATATAAAAATAAAAAAAATTTCTTAATTTTTTAATTTTTTTTTTTTAAATTTTTTTTTTAAATTTATTTTTAAATTTTATTTTTTTCTAACAAAAAAACCGTATTAAACTTTAAAGTTAAAAGAAGTTATAAAATAATTTTAAAAGTTACACAAACTTAAAAATTTTTAATAAAATTCATATAAACCTGTAAATTATATTAAAAAAAAAAAAAAAAAAAAAAAAAAAAATTCTTTTTTTGGATAAAAAATAAATTTTATGTTATCAAACTAAAAAAAAAAAATTATTTAATAATTAAACTATTGTTTTAATTTATTTATTGAGGTAAAATATTGTTCCATTATTGGGAAAATGCCACCTTTATCAGACATATGGTGATTTACTGACCAAACTGAGCCTGTATTATAGTTGAGAGTAGTTTGTTCTATTCACCTTCAATTTTATTTTAGGATAAATCTATTGATTGAATTGTTGGATTTTTTTGAATCATTTAGGTCTTTGATATAAGACTATGGAATTGGTAAAATCTTTTGAAGCTAACAAAGATTATATATAGAAGTATTATTATACATTCAAAATTACTTTAGTTTTGACCCCTTCAAATGACGCCACTATTAAATGTTGGAACTATCAAGATGATTGAGAAACCACCATAACTTTTGAAGGACACTCTCATTATGTAGTGTCCATTTTATTATACCCCAAAAACACTAATATCTTAGCATCTGCTTCTTTGGACAAATCCATCAAATTTTAGGGATATTAAGAGTGAAATATCACAACTAATACTCAGTCAAGAGGAAGCTCACGAAAAAGGTTAGATACAGTCGTCTAAATGTAATGTAGTTATTATTTTTATAACTATTTATAATGATTACTTTTATTATAACATTATTTGTTGCTATTCATTTATTTATTTTTTGTATTTTTATAATTTTTTATAATTTTTTTTATTTTATTTTATTAAACTGTAAGATCTTTGTAATTTAAAATACTTTTTGAAGCCAATAAAGGAATCCCCTCTTCATTACTTTCTTCATCATTTCCATATTTTGAACTTGAAGTAATATCATTTAATATTTTTTCATTTTCATTATTGTTTAATAAATGTTTATTTGAAAAATAGTATTGGATTTTACTTGAACTACTTTCATTACCTATTGAAACTTTTGGATGGGTTATACATAAAAAAAAACTTCCCCCAAATTTACTATACACAATTTTTTTCCAAGTGAATGTTATTGATCTATTTTTATATTCTTCATTTAATATTATGGTCAAACCCTCTGGTGAGGTATTTTCACTTTTAAATTGAAATTGAAAAAACCATTGAATTGATAAAAACAATATTCCAAAGAGTACTAATAATAACCACCAAAACAATAACCCTTTAATAATTAATGGTACACTAGTTACCACTAAAATAAAAGTTAAAGCTAAACATGCTACTACCCATTTATTATTTTTTTTTATTATATCATTTATTTCTGTAACAATTTTAAACAATTCATCTTGGGTAAGGGTATTTTCTAATCTTGGGTCATATTCCGTTGATAGGGTATCAAACCAAAATTGATATCCATTTTTAAAAATAATTGTATCAATTAAAATCATTTTGAATTTGCTTTTATTAAAGAAAAAAATTATTTATTATAATATTTATATTATTAAACAACAAAAAAAAAATATAAAAAACTAACCCCTTATATATTATGTGTAATTAAAAAAAACAACACCCCCAAAAAAAAAAAAATAAAAAAAAAAAAAAAATAAATAAAAAAAAAAGGGTTGTTTTGATACAAATAACTTTTTTTTTTTTTGTTTATTAAATATAAATATTTTAAATAAATTATTTCCATACTTTTACAACACCATCAGTACTTGCAGAAATTAACATTGGATTCGGTACCTCCATCATTTTAATATCTAAAATTGGTTCAAGGTGGTGAATTGATGGCATTGATATGGATGATTTTGATTTTTGTTGCTGTAATTGATTGATATATTGTTGTTGCTGTTGTTGTTGTTGCTGTTGTAGTTGGTATTGTTGCTGTTGTATTGATAAAGACGAACTACTACCACTACCACCACTACCTACACTATTTGAAGAATTGAATGATTGTAATGTATTTGTGTAATATGATGATGATGAACTATCATGCCAAATTTCTTCATGAATTTCAAAAGCTGCTTTTGTATCATTAGAAAATCTATGTGTATAGAATGGTGGAGGTTCTTTGCCTATCGAAACGTAATAAGATTGTGGTAAATTATTCCAATCCCAAAGTTTTATTCTTTTATCATCACCAGCTGTAATAAGGAATTGACAATTAGGTGGATTTAATAATGCTCTTACGATTGGAGTAGGTTTAAATCCGCTTCCACTTGTACCATTTATATTACCTATAACACTACTATTAAAACTATTTACAATATTTGGTTGAGCTGAAAACTGTGAAAATGAATTTGATCTTTGATTATTTGATCTTAAATTTTCAGTACCAAAATCAAATGATGTTGTAGAATTTGATAAATTACTATTATTATTATTGATACTATTACTGAGCTGTGAATTTGATAGATTTTGTTGACTTTGTTGACTTTGTTGATTTTGTTGATTAATTTGTTGTTGTATAATTTGTTGTTCATATGATCTTTTAAATACACGTGTAACCTTTCTATTAGCTAAATCAAAAACAATGACATTATCTATTTCAGTTGATATATGAATCCAACTCTCTGAAGATTGCTTTGAGCCCATATATGGTGAGAATTTTAATATACGGCCATTACTAACACGGAAATTATATAATGGAATACCGAATCTAAGATCCCAACATGTTAAAAAACCTCTGCTTGTTCCTGTAACTAACCAATTTCTATGTGGGTCAATTAAAAATGCTTGTATTAAACCTAAACTTGCGTCATTAACTAAATTAAATGCATCTTGTTGACTTCTTAAATCCCAACCATGTATACCACCTTTAGTTGTTGCATATGTAACTACTGAAGATGAATTGGTCGCAAAATGACTAACTGATACAATATTACCACGATTAATTTCACTAATATTCTTAATAGTTGATAAGTTTGTATATTTTACATTGCTACCCTTCATTTTACCATTAATACCAACACGAAAAACATGAATTGAACCTTTATCAGATGCTGATGCAATTGAATGAGTTTTCTCGCAAATTGAAATTGATGTTATACGACCCTCTTGTTGTGTATAGGTTTGACGTGCACGATTTGTAACACTTTTTTCCATTCTCTGGCAATCCCAAATTTTAACTGATCCATCATTACTTGCTGTAGCAAAGAATAAATTATCGCCACTAACTTGAATTTCGTTTACTGCAGCCTTATGTTCAAAGAAATGACTTACTAAGACACCCATTGGTCTCCACTGTGATACATTTGATGATTCAAAACCAGTGTATACTCCACTCATACCAGTGCTACTATTACCACCAATATTATTGTTACTGTTATTACCAGAACCAATATAACCTGGCATGGTAGGTTCTGTGGATCCTAGATCTGGTAGAGGTGGGGGAGCTTTGATTGAACATTCTACAGATGCTTCAACTTTCAATATTTGACTAAGACTAAATGTATTCTTTGTATTAATTGAATATTTTTTGGTGACAACATTTAAATCTGATGGATTAACAATATCAATTTTATTTGTTATCGAGGATGATGGTTGTTGTGCTTGTTGAGCCTGTTGTGCTTGTTGTGCTTGTTGTTGTTGATACTGCTGATATTGTTGTTGTTGGTATTGTTGGTATTGTTGATTTTGTTGCTGTTGTGGTTGTTGATTTTGTGGTTGTTGTAGAGTTGGTGTTTGTTGCTGTGATGTTGGTTGCGATTGTGATGTTGGCTGTTGTGGTGAGACAGTGTTTGCTGTTGTTGGTAGTTGTTGTGATTGTGATAAATTTGATTGGTTTGGAGATGTGCTTGAAATACTATTGTTTGCCAAAGCTGGTGTTGAATTGGATGATGACAAAGATGAAGTTGATGCATTGGTTGGTAAAGATGGAGAAGTTAATGAAGTTGAAGAGTTGTTTAATGAAGCTGCATCATTTCCTCTTATTTTAACCATTCTAATTGGTATATATGATGGAAGTTTAGTAATTTCCACTACCGGAGCATTGCTAGACGAGAGTGACATTGATGCAACTGAACTACTTAAGCCTTGAAGTGTTGGAGATGATCTACCAATTGTATTTGAACTATTTAAAGATGATTGTCCATTTGAAGAGTTACCTAATGAACCAATTGTAATACCATTACCCATGTTTGTTGGGCTATTTGAACGATATAGTGAATATTCTTGTTGAGAAGTTTGTTGCATTGATGATGATGACAATGATGATGATGATAACATTAAAGTTGAAGGTCCAATTATTTCGGTATCTTTACATTTCTTTGATTGTAAGTAATCAAAACATTTAATAATTTTAACTTGGTCACTATCAGATATACCCATACTTGTCATTTGTCTTTGGAATGCTAATGATTCTTCAGTTGAGTTTGATAATAAACTATTTTGACCAGACTCTACACCATTTGAATTGATTGAAACATTTGATTGGGATAAAAGATTTGGAATAAATATTTTTTTACTTAGTGCTCTTAATCTTCTATTTGATCCGCCAGCATTTCCTGAACTGTTATTTGATAAAATTGTAGTTTCATCCTCTAATGAGTGTAATGATGATGTTAAATTAATTTGGTGTTTATAAATAAATCTCGCTATTCTATTAAATGATTCTCTGGAGATTGGTGTATCTAATAACTGAATTAAATTTGATTCGCTAATATTATCGCTAATTTCACCATTACCAACCAAAAATGGAGCCAATTTGGGTTTAACATAACAATAAAGATCAGCTTTAGAAAGACTTGAGCAAATTTTGACAATTAAAGAGACTACACCATAACGAATCCAATTGTTAGGATGTAAAAGCATTGGTGAAGTTTTTACCAATAACTCCAAGAGAATAGGTTTACGTAATAAACCCAATGAACATAATTCGCTAAGACTAGATAACGCTTTCTCTGTAACAAATTCTTCTTCATCGGTAAGAGCCAAAAGAATACATGGATAGATGAATGATTCTAAACTTCCAGCACCAACTACTGTACATACGGCTACAATATTTTCAAAGAATGCACATCTTAATTGCCAATCTCTATCATTTAGGAATGTGATTATTAGTGGTAAAACTGATTCATTTGTTTTTTGTCTACCAAAGAATACACACAATCTATAGATATCTGAGAGAATAATATTCTTTAAAGTGTTACATGAATCTTTTGTTAAGAGATCTGAAACTTTATTATAGAATTGTTCTTGGACGTCTTGGAGATCTGAATCATAAACACGGAATTTACCACGGTCTCTTGATGATCTTGAAGATTCCAACATACCTTCAGAGTCTGGGTCACGATAATGTTGAGCAATTTCTAAAAATCTTTTTGCAGTGGTTGCTAATTGAGGTAAAATTTCAGCAAATGCAATTCTAATAAGTTCATCAGTTTGTTCATTTGAGAGTTGCGAAAGTGATGGTAAGATATATTGAGAAAAAATTGAAGATTCGCTTGGTGGAAAACTTTGAACCATTTCTAAGACTTTTGCTAAACTTCTTAAAGCTTGGACTCGTACTAAAGTAGGTTGTTCTGGGGAAATCATACTCATTATATATGGAACAATCTTTTGAAGTCTACATTCATCATCTAAAAGCTCTGCCATTCTAACCATTAATGAACCTACACACTTTACTTTAGTTGAAGGAAATTGACAATGTTTAACTGCTGAATAAATTATTGATAAAAATAGATCTAAACCATCAACCTTTTCGATTTTATTATTATCATTAAAATTTGGTTTTATTTGTGGTTGTAATGATTGAGTTTGTAATTTTTTAGTTTCTGGATTATTTAATATAGGTTGTTGTTGTTGTTGTTGATTTTGTTGTTGTTGTTGTTGTTGATTTAATTTTAATTGAGTATCTGAATCTTTTAAATTTGTAATATCAATTCTTTCATATTCTTCAGCTTCAGAAATAAATTTTTCGGTATTTAAAACAATAGTTGCTATATTTTTACCAATTTCTTCCAATTTTGATGATGGACCTCTAAAGGAGTTTGATGAACTTGAATTTAATGCATCTGTTAAATTGTTGCCAATATTGTTTAAACTAAAATTGTTGGGTGAATTTAAAACTGGTGAATTTTGTAAAGAACTTCTTAATGGAGTGCCACTATTACTTGTTTTTAAATTTGTTTTAAAAATATTTACAATTTCGTCAAATTTGTCGCTAATACACATAACCCTATCGTCATTTTCTAGTCTCATTAATTCTGGGATAAAAGAATGAGCAAAAGAAAAGTATGCTGGAAAAGCTTCATTTTCGGTCCATTTTACTATATATTTCTCTGGAGTGTATCTCATATCTGGATCCTTTTGAATCATATGTAAGATGAGTGATTGAATATTTGGGTCGGGTATACGTTGACGGATGATTGGTTCTGGTGAATATTCACCCTTACGATATGATAAAAGCTGAGAGAAATCGAAAATTGGGAAACCATCTAAAAACAATTCGGCAATAACACAACCTAATGAGAAAATATCCATCTTTGGTGTTAAATCTCCAACTGGCATTGCTTTATTTGTATCATAAAAACGTTCTGGTGCTATATAACAAGTTCTACGCCCACTTGTATCGAAATAAAAACTAAAGTCTGCAGGATTATCCTCTGGAATAAATGTTGGCTTGTAGCATGCAAAGTCTACTAAATATACCCAATTGGTTGTTGTGCACATAACATTTTCACATTTGATATCACCATGAAATACTCCTTTGAAAGATGATTGCTCCAATGCTTTTAATAATTGAAATGCTATAAACTTCTTTTCAATGATTGATAAAAATGGTCTTGTACTGAGTCTATCATATAAATTATTATGGAAATATTGTCTTATTAAGTATCCAGATCTTTCTGTTTCAATAAATTGTTGATATGGCATAATATTTAATCCTGATACAATTGTAAAACTATTTTTAATTTCTAAAAAAATCATCACTTTGTTAGTTTTAAATGATTTTTTTTTTTTTTAAAAGTGTGTGGTGTTATTTTTATAATTACCTTTTAACATTATTTTTATTTTCTCTAGCGACTCTTTCGTATTCCTTTTTCTATATATCTTTACAACTACATAACCTTCTTCACTGTGATAAGCTTTGACTGTTTTTAAAAATCTTGCATTTCCTAGTGAATTTTTAAAAACAATTGGTCCTATTTCATCTTCTAAATATTCTGATACTACAATAGGTGCCCCCACTGTATTACCCATAGTTATTTATTTATAATATATTTATAATAAATATATTATTAATATATATATTTAAATATATATAATTGTAATAATAAAATATCAATATTTAATAAAAAAAAAAGATAATAAATTTGAAAAAAAAAATTTTTAAAAAAATAATTTAAAAAAAATAAAAAAAAAAAAAAAAATAAAATTTTATTTTTTTATAATTTTAATTTTTTTTTTTGAATTTGTGATAATATTATTCATTTATCTCTATTACCCCCAAAAAAAACCATATTTCAAATATTAAACTATATACACCAATATATCTATAAACATGGAAATAATTATTCTTATAAATCAAAAAACCTTTTTATTATAATAATAATAAACAAAATATAATAATCATAAAAAAATAAAAAATAGAAATTTTTTTTAATATAATCATAAAAAAATATAAAAAAATAAAAAAAATGGACTAAAATATAATAGACCATCCATGCAAAAGTGTAACTTATAGAATGTGGGTCATTACCACATTTATTTTTATTATTTTATTTTATTTTATTTTTTTATTTTTCAAAAAATCTTTTTTTTAAAATTTTTTTTTTTTGAAAAATCAACTTTTTTTTTTTTTTTTTTTTTGCAAATATTTGGATAATTACCAACATAGTATTTTATCATGATAGTTTAAAATCTATAATAAAAAAAAAGATTAAAATAATAATAATAATCATAACAAAAACAACAGTCTCAAATTAGAAAATGAATAATTACTCTGATAATCTTGGGCATCAGGCATCAAACATTGCCATGGTGTGCGATATGGAAAAGAACAATGCTTTGGCCAAAAGTAAAGAAACAGATGCAAAAATTTTAAAACTATATAATGTCGTAAAAATAGATAAATTAAAAAGAAAACAGGTAAGATTCAATTACTAGATATTTTAAAATGGTGGTCACTTATTAAATTTTTTTTTTGTTAGGAATTCGAAGCATGCACAAATCAATTCTCTAAAAACCTGTCAACAATTAGAAACTTAGAAAAAGAAATTTTAAAAGAAGAAAATTTATATTCAGATGAAATTGAAAATTGTAAAAAAGAAATTAATTTAGAGAATGAAATATTTATAAATCGCCAAAAAGAATTTATTGAAATTAATAAAGTCAATATTAATATAAACACAACACCAATAAATAACACATTACAAATAAGAAAACTTCGGGAATTACATAATAACTGTTTAATATTAGAAAATAATATCAATGAAATATCTTCAATAAACAATAGTAAAATTAATCACCTAAATGACTTAATAAAATCAGTTGAATTAAAAATAGAAAATCATAATGTAAGTAAAAAACTATAATAAACTATAATTTAAATAAAAATATAAAAATATAAAAATATAAAAATATATTAACTTTTTTATTTTATTTTAAAGAAAATTTTTGAAGAAAAAGAAAGATTAAGAAAAAATAAATTAGATTTAGATTTATTATTAGATGATTTAGAAAAAAGTAAAAATAGTATTTCCAATAGTAATATATTAAATAGTATACACATTAGTAATTTAACAAGTAGTTTAGAGAATAGTATAAAGTTGTTAAAAGAAGATGAATATGACTCACTATCCAAGAAATTAAAAGATGATGATGAAAACCAATTAAAAAAAGAAAATGAAGAAAAAGAAAAAAGAAAAATCACATTACCAAAAGCGCCTTCATTTGATATGAACAATTTACATAAAAAAATAGTAGTACCAACTACTCCAGCAAATGTGGTCCCTGAAAATGACTTCAATAAAAAGCTATTAGAATTTAAACTCAAAAAACAACAAATTAAACAAGAAGAGGAGAATAAACAAAACAAATTAAAACAACAACATGACGAAAATATTCAAAAACAAACCGAAAATTCAATTCAATATCCAATCAATGTATTTATAAACGGTAAACTTCACCAACTACTCTATAGTTTAGAACTGGATACCATAAGTTCATTATTATCAAAAATATTTGATTATCTCCAACTCAACGACTATACAAATTTAAAAAAACTAAACATCTCTACCATTGAAGAAATGTCTTTGAAAACCTCATCAAACTTTTATTTTTCAAATAAAACTAAACAATATTTGTAAGTGATGTTTGTTTTTTTTTAGTTAAATATTTACAATATATTAATAATATAATTTTATTTTATTATTTACAGAAAATATGTTCCGTTTTTTATTGACCAAAAACAGAAACAAACCTTTGATATATATGTGGTTCCTAAAAAAGAAGAAGAAGAATTTTATAATAAAATCTCGGTTATTTTAAATAAAGATTTCGAAACCTCAGTTAAAAATGATGATAAAGAAGAATCTACAAATTTTAGAAATAGAATGGTTAAATTTTTAGATATTGTTAATATTCATAAATTACAGTTAGATAACGAGGCAACGTTTATATCCTCACCAAACTCATCCCCAACAAACTCATGTACAAATTCTCCAACAAACTCTTTTGGGCAATTACCATATTTTTCACCTCAAACATCTGCTAATAAACTACCAACTTTAATTGGTTATAACAGACCACCATCAACAAGCCTCAACTCAAGTACCAATAGCTTTGGTGATTTTTATTTAGGTAGCCCTCCATCAGCATCAATACTATCATCCTCTCCCGTAACCATTCAAAATAACTACTATGGCAATAAAATTACAAATAGTAATTCATCTTCGTCAGGTAGTCTTCATAAATCAACTTTATTAAAAAACTCAACATCAAGCATCCCAATTAGTATTCAAAACAACAATAATATAAATGATAGCAACAATGGACTCAATAGTGAATCATTCAGTAGTTACAGCCCATCTAGCAATAGTTGGAAAGCATGTTCACCATCAAGCAATATGAGAAAATTTGAAACCAATGCAAATTTTTTTTCATCATCACCTTCACTTTCAAATAGCAGCGGCTCATTATTTACAAAACAGAAATCAATTAATAGCAATTTAAATACACTTTATTCATTAGCCCAATGTACCATAAGATTATTTATAACAGAAAACATTATTAAAACATTTTATTGCAATGTAACAACTACTATTGGTGAATTGCAAGATATAATTTTTAGGAAGTTTTCGAAAATTATTGAAAATGAAACCAAGATTATGGATCCCAGTAAATTTGTAATTAAAATTCGTGGTCTAGAAATCTATTTGGTAAACTCTGGTTCACAATTGTGTTCAATCGATTTTATCAATACCAAATCAAGGAGACAAAAGAAAATTGATCTATTACTTTTAGAAAGGAATTCTGTTGACGAGTCTGAACTACAAGCATCGATGGAAACAACCTGCCACTCAACCTTATCATCATCTCAATATATATCATTAAATGAATCATTAGAAAAAAGTATATTATTAGAAGATGAAGATCTTGTAACAACTCCTCAAATAAGCAGCAATAATACTAATAAAAATTTCAAGATAAGAATTGGTGGTTTAAAGAATTTTGATATTGATGAAATTAGATCATCGCTAAACTTAAACTTTAAAACAGCAGAAACAAAGATTTATACCAGAGCTCAAATTTATCAAGGTGGTTATAAAATTGGTAATACAATGATAACAAATAAAATCCCAATCCAAAATAATCCATCCTGGTTACACTGGTTAGAAGGTGTTAGCTTTAAAGAAATTCCATCAAATGCCATCATTACTTTAATGATTTACATTAAAACAAAAAAAGAAAGAACAGGCTCCAATTACGATATAAGCGACTCTGATTTACTTTTAGGTTGGGTTAACTTTCATATTTGGGACTATAAGAATAAAATTAACTCTGGTTTCAATTCATTAAAACTCTGGCTAAATAATACTATAGACTACTCAAATCTACACCAAAACTATTTAGATAATGTAGCATTAACTTTTGAAATAGAATCATCAGGTATTCAATTCTCACCAGAACCGTTATCCAATGAAAGAATAGAGCAATTAGAGCAATACTATCAACAACAAGTACCAGACACCTCAATTCTACAAACTGTAAATCAAATTTTAGATAGAGATAGACTTTGTGATTTAAAACCAGATGAAGCCCAACTAATTTGGAAATATAGAAATCATTGTAAAATGAATAAACCAACCACATCAATTTCAAAACTTACACTATCAGTACCATGGAACAACCCAGAAGCCGTTCAAGAATTTTATTGGTTAGTAAATAATTGGCCATCTTTAGACCCAATTGATAGCTTAGAGCTATTAAGTTCTCAATTCTTAGATAGAGAAGTTAGAAAATTAGCAATTTTAAATCTTAGAAGGATGAGTGACTCCGAAATAGATATGTATTTACCACAACTTATTCAAGCACTTAAACATGAACCCCATCACTATTCAATTTTATCAAAATTTTTAATTAGGCGTGTACTTTTAAATAAACAAAATATGTCACATAAATTCTTTTGGCAAATTAAAGCAGAAATTTTAGTATTAGAGGAGGCAAATAATAATAACAATAAAATATATCCAGAATGGTTAGAAAGATATCAACTTTTATTAGAAACTTTTCTTAGAGGTACATCAAATAACAAACTTAATGATATATATAAACAATATGAATTCTATAGTAAAATCAAATCGGTTGCTCTCGAAATCAAAACCATCGCATCAAGTAAAAGAAGAGATTATTTAAATTCAACCCTATCTACACTTGAAATTTCAAACGATTTTAAAACACCAAGTAATCCAGAATTTAGAGGCAAATCAATTATACCATCAGGCTGTAAAGTAAAAGAATCCAAAACATTGCCATTGTTTCTATCAATTGAAAATTATGACCCATTAGGAGATAATCACTATATTTTATTTAAAGCTGGTGATGATTTAAGACAAGATCAACTAACAATCCAAATGATCAATATTATGGATAGAATGTGGTTAAATAGTGGTCTAGATTTACAAACAATTACCTATCAATGTATTGCGTCAGGTCCAATGGAAGGAATGATTGAAATTGTTGGGGATTCCAAAACAATTGCCGATATTCAAAAACAAGCTGGTGGTATTACAGCTGCACTATCAGAAACAGCCATTTCAGATTGGTTAAAACAAGAAAACCCTTCAGAATTGGAATATAACAGTGCTGTAGAAAACTTTATTAGATCGACGGCTGCATGTTCAGTGTATTCATATATATTAGGTCTTGGAGATAGACACAACGATAACATCATGATCACTAGATCTGGTCATTTATTTCATATTGATTTTGGTAGATTTTTAGGTAATGTCCAAACATTTAAAGGATTCAAAAGAGAAAGAGCCCCATTTGTATTTCCTGCATCATTTGCATACGTAGTCGGTGATGAACATTTTAAATCATTTGAAGATCTATGTGCCAAAGCCTATAATGTCATTAGAAGAAAAGCAAATGTATTTTTAAATTTATTCTTAATGATGGTATCAACTGGTTTACCAGAGTTAAATAAAATTTCAGATATCTATTATTTAAGAGATGCTTTGGCATTAGAATTAACCGAAGAATTAGCGGCTCAAAAATTTAAACAAATGATTCAAGAATCAATTGCCTCAAAATCAACAGATCTAAATTTTATGGTCCACATTGCTTTCAATCCAAATTAATATTTTATAAAAAATATTGATTATTAATTTTAATTATAATAAAACATAAACATAAAAAAAAATCTAAAAAAAAAAATCTTAAAAAAAGAACGGTGTAATAGAATTTATTTTAATTTTTTTTTTTTTTTTTTTTTGGCTTTTTTTTTTTTTTTTTTTTTTAAAATTCGAATTTTATTTCTCAATAATTTCAATTATTAAAAACTTTATAAATTATTTATTTTTTTTATTATTTATAAATTACAAATATTTTATTTGTACTTTTTTTTTTTTCTTTTGTGTTACTTTTTTTTTAAAAATTAAAAATGAAAATATTTCTATTTTTATTTTTATTTTTAAATTTTTTAAATTTTTTAAATGCAAACAAAGAAGTTGGTGATAATCCAATAACAACCAATTTTATACCACAGGATGATTGTTTTACAAAGGGAGGTTGTAATATTTTCAGTAACTCATCATATTGGGACAAACCAAATGTATTAACAAACTCAGCATCAACAAATTTTATTATTGAAGTCCAAAATAGCGAAACTATAACTTTAGTTATTAGTAACAATGAAAATTTTCAAGTTTATGGTTTAACCATCGACTTTTCAAATGGTAGCACAAATCATATTATTATTAATTCTTCACTTTCAGCCGAAAATATTCTTTTCTCAATTACCAGTATCACAATAAACAATGCTGTAGTTCAATCTGGTGTAATCAGATTAGTAGAGTCAACCACTATATTAAATGGAAACTCACAAATTATTTCAACCTCAACAAACCCAACAAACTCATTACCAGATTTTTCTATTGATTTATTATCAATGTTAGTAGCCTATGACTCTTCTTTAGTTAAAGCAAATACTCTTTTTTTACAAGGTTCACTTTTATTAAATCAACAAAGTACAGTTCAAGTCTCAGAGGAATTTAATTCTTTAAATGGTTTTGTAGCTCACTCCAATACAAATATTAAAGTCGATGGGTCTATGACTCTCTCTGGTTCCCAAAAGTATAGTTTATTTGGTACAATTCAAGTTTCAAAAACTATTAATATCCAAACTAATGCCGATATAGCGAATCTTACAACCTCGTCAATGAATTTAAACTCCAATGTAAGAGTTGTCCCAAATTCAAAAGTAGTTGTTTCAGATGATATTGTTTTTAATGGTAATCTTACTATTAGCGAATATTCAACATTCAGTGCCAACCCAAGTTTAGTAAAAGTAGTCAATGGTATCATAACATTAAAAGACAATACAAATATTTATATTGGTAATCTTCAATTCCCATCTGGATCCCTTGTATCGAACACCTCATCTAAAGCCATATTCTCAAATATTACAGTTTCAAGTGGCGAGGTTACATTTTTAGATAGTGTTGATATTACTGGTGGTATTACTGTTGCCGCCAATGCATCTCTTGTTGCAACTAATTCATTAAAATTAGAAAAATGTCTCTATGTTGATGGTAGTGTAACCATTAATAAACAAGCCATTTGCTTTAACGACAACTTTTTCATTCATGAATCTGGCTCTGTCGATTTCCTCCCAGATTCACACAGTTACTTCTTTTTAATATATAACTATGGTGTTTTAAATATCGATGGTTCAAATGTTACACTTCAAAGCAATATCTTAAATGCTGGTGATCTTAGTATTGCAATCGATGGTAATGTTAACTTTATAGGTTTTATGGATTGTATTTCAACTAGCTCAATTAATATTCAAGGTCTAGGCCCAAATACCGACAAACCGGCATTAAAAGTACAAAATATTCTCACTATGAATGGAACATTTGTTTATAATATTAGCATTCCACCAAATGATCAAGATTCAACCTATACATTTATTCACAGCGATATTCAATTAGATGGTAATTTCACATCATTTGTTTCAGCTGACCCAGCAAACCTCAATTTAGCTTTTGATTTTGTAACTCCAAAAGGTTACAACTATCCAGATACTCTTCAAGTTGTTTTTAATTGGGCCAGCCTGGAAAAACGTACCCATCCAGCTTTAATTGTAATGTCAATTGTATCTCCATTAATCCTTATCGCTTTATTAGTTCTTATAATTTATAAAGTTAGACAATATAAACAACATAAAGGTTATACATCATTATCATCAAATGATAGAATTATAAATGATGATTCAAATCATAATTTATAAATTATAACTAAACATTTTAAATATTAATATCTTTTTAAAAAAAAAATAAAAAAATAAAAAAAAAAAAAATAATAAAAATTATTAAAATATATATCTTATTAATTTAGTATTATAATAAACAAAATAAAAATAAATAAATAAAACCTTAGTATATAAAATAAAATACAAGACGGACTATCCAATAGCAAACTTCAATTGAAAAAATTAAAAATTTAAAAAAAGAATCTAAATATATATAAAAAATATTATAATATTATAAAAAGCAAAAAAAAAAAGTTGATTGGGTTGGAAAGAATAGGAAAAAAAGCTGATTAAATGAATATAAAACAAACTTTTGATTGCAAGCTTGAATGAAAAATAAATTAAAAAGAGGTTTATATAGAGTTTTAAAATTTATTTAGAGTATGGGATTAAAAATAAAATTAAGTAAATTATAATTATGAATCTATAACCCTTTCCTTTTTTAAAAATAAAAAAACAACTCCAAATTGATTTTACCCTTTTTTGTACAATCATTAAATTTATTTTGATCTATTAACTTTTTTTAAGCCCCACCCACTTAATTAATAAAATTTTAAAAAAAAATAAAAAAATAAAAAAATAAAAAAATAATTTAAAAAAATTTCAACACAACACTGTTTTTAATTAAAAAAAATTGAAAAGAAATTTCATTGCGACATATTATTTTAATTAAAAAAAAATTCTTTAAAAAAATAAATAAATAAAAAAATTATTTATTTTTGAGTATTTTTTTTATTTATATTGATTTATTGATTTATTTATTTATTGATTTCGCATCTTGTGATCATGTGATATATGAGATTTTATTTAATTTGAAAAGTGATGAAATGAGTTTATTTGAGTTTTTAAATATTAAAAAATAAAACACACCATAATCTTTTTAAAAGAAACCCAAATAATATCTTGAAAAAAAAAAAACTATTGTATCTTCAATTTCTACATATTGACTATTGTGATTGTCATTGTCAATTAACATAGTCTCCATTTACTGTATCATTGATAAATTCCTTTCGGCAACCCAAATTTAAAATAAAATTATTGTATCTTCTAAAATTTTAAAAAAAAAAAAAAAAAATTTTAAATTAAAAATAATTATACACTTTAAATTTATCAACTAAACTCAGTAGAAACGAATATAATTGTAATTTTAGGACATCAATAGTCAAAAGTTCAATAACAACACCATTTATACTATTGGTATATTAATCATAATAATTGATAATATATAATCATTCAATAAATTTTACAAAAATGCCTAGACAACTCTTCTATTTTTAATTTTTTTTTTTTTTTTTTTTTCTTTAAAGAATATATTGTAATTTTATCATATTTAAATGATTAAATCATTTTTTTTAGTTTTCTTAAACTATAAGATTTTCAATTATAGAAATTTTAAAAACTATAATTATTTATTTTTTTTTATTTTTTTTATTTTTTTTTATTTTTCTTTTTTTTCCTTTTTTTTTTATTTTTTTTTTTAAAAATTTTTTTTTTTTTAAATTTTTTGAAAAAAAAAAAAAAAAAACGATTATTTTTTTTTGTATTGAAATAAACCGAATCATATATTTAAATAATTTTATATATATAATTAATTTAGTTTCAATCGTATTTTTATTACTTATTTATTTTCATACCCATAAAATCAAATAGTAGTAATTATAATATTATATTATAAAAAAAAATAAAATGAGTGGTAAGTTTTATTTTTATAAATATAATACTTTTTATAAAAAGTATTTCAATTTATTAATAGCATTTATTTTTTTTATTTATTTTTTTTATTTATTTTTTTTTTATAATAAATCAAGTAGATAAAAAATCAAAGAAATCAGAAAAATCAGTAGAATCAACTGAACAACAAGTTATTAAACCAGAAAAAACCCCAACTTTAGATACATCAAAATGGCCATTATTATTAAAGAATTATGATCAATTATTAGTTAGAACTGGTCACTATACACCAATTCCAAACGGTCATTCACCATTAAAAAGACCAATCAAAGAATACATTAAATATGGTATTATTAATTTAGATAAACCATCAAATCCATCATCACACGAAGTCGTTGCTTGGATTCGTACTATCCTTCGTGTTCAAAAAACTGGTCACAGTGGTACTTTAGATCCAAAAGTTACAGGTTGTTTAATTGTTTGTATTGAACGTGCTACTCGTTTAGTTAAATCACAACAAGGTGCTGGTAAAGAATATATTGGTATTGTTCGTTTACACAACGCTATTGAAAACGTTAGCGAACTTTCAAAAGCTGTCGATACTTTAAGAGGTGCTCTTTTCCAACGTCCACCACAAAAATCTGCCGTCAAAAAGAGATTAAGAGTTCGTACTATTCACGAATCAAAATTAATTGAATACGATCCAGAACGTAATTTAGGTTTAATTTGGGTCGATTGTGAAGCTGGTACCTATATTCGTACTCTCTGTGTTCACATTGGTCTTTTAATGGGTGTTGGTGGTCACATGCAAGAACTTCGTCGTGTTCGTTCAGGTATCATGTCTGAAAAGAAAGGTATGGTCACTATGCACGATGTTAAAGATGCTCAATACGAATTTGATAACTCCAAAGATGAAGCATACCTCCGTCGTGTTGTTCAACCATTAGAAGCTATTCTTACAAACTACAAGAGAATCGTTGTTAAAGATAGTGCTATCAATGCTATTTGTTATGGTGCCAAACTTATGATTCCAGGTCTTCTCCGTTATGAACAAGATATCGAATCCAACGAAGAAGTCGTCCTCATTACCACTAAAGGTGAAGCCATCGCTATTGGTGTTGCTCAAATGACCACCGCTTCAATGGCCACCTGCGACCACGGTGTTGTTGCTACCATTAAAAGAGTTATTATGGATAGAGATGTTTACCCAGTTAGATGGGGTCTTGGTCCAAAAGCTAAGGTCAAGAAGGAAATGATCAAAGATGGTAAATTAGATAAATATGGTAAACCAAACGAAAAAACTCCATCTGATTGGACCAATACCTACACCTATTACACTGGTGTTGCTGCTCAAGAAGGTACCGAAGAAATGAAAGTTGATACTCCAAAGAAAGCCACCACTGCTGTTATTTCACCAGAACCAACTCCAGCTGCTGTCCCATCATCTGAATCTGAATCCGAAAAGAAAGAAAAGAAAGAAAAGAAAGATAAAAAAGAAAAGAAAGAAAAGAAAGATAAGAAAGAAAAGAAAGAAAAGAAAGACGACTCTGATGATTCTGACTCTGAAAAGAAAGAAAAGAAAGAAAAGAAGGATAAAAAGAAGAAAGACGAATCCGATGATGAAAAATCAAAGAAAAAAGAAAAGAAAGATAAAAAGAGAAAGAAATCTGAAAAAGATTCAGGCGATGAAAAAGAATCAAAAAAAGAAAAAAAGAAAAGTAAAAATTAATTCAATTTAAATTATTTTATTTAATTGATTAATAATACTAAAAAAAAATTAAAAAAAAAAAAAACATATAACAAATCACAACTTTTAATCACCCAAAAAAAAAAATAAAAAAAAATAAAAAAAAAAAAAGTAATTTTAAAAAAAAAAATAATTATTTATAAACTTTTTTTGATCAGCTGAGATTTTCAATAACCACCGCAAAATAATTTATATTTTTTTACTTTGTGCATGAAAATCAAAAAAAACACCCATTTTTTTTTTTTTGTGAGTAATTATTTACTCTTGGTTACGGTTCCCAAATTATTTTGCGTGAGGAAATTTTTTTTTTCCTCAAACCCTAAGCTAAACAAAATTGTACATTTTAATTGATTTTGTTTTTAATCAAAGTTTTTATTTTTTTTTTAATATTTTTTTCATTTATTTTTTACAATCAAAAATTTAAAAATAAACTGCGTTTTTTTTTATTCATTTTATTATTTTTTTTTTTAACTACATATATATGATATATATGTTTTTTTAGTGTATAATAAAAAAACAAATAATTGTTTGATATTTTTTAAAATGATTAAATTTAATTTTTTTATTATTTTCATTTTTATAATTTTTTTTATAAATAATGTATATTCAATAAAAATAAATAATAACAATAATAAAAATAATTTAGATATAAATAAAAAAGAAAGAAATACAATTAAAATAAAAGAAATTTATAAAACCAATAAATTGGGTACAATTAGAAATGTTTTAGCATCAACCGCAAATTTAAATGAGGATGAAAAAGAAATTTTAAAATTATTATATGAAAAGTGGTCTGGTTCTTCATGGGTAGATAATACAAATTGGTTAGAGGGTGACCCATGTTCAAATAACTGGTATGGTATTGTGTGTCAATCATTCGATGGTGATTTAACAAATAATATAATAAAAATTCAATTGGGTTCAAATGATTTAAAAGGTGAGTTACCAATAGAGTTTTCAGATCTTATTCATTTACAAGTAATTGATATTTCAAGTAATATGTTGGGTGGTGAAGTTGAACATAAAATTTTTTCAAAAATGGATAACCTCACCTATCTCTCATTAAACGATAATGAGTTTGTGGGTGATCTATCGTGGACCAACTTTTTACCAGATAATATTTCAACATTGTGGATTGCATACAATTATTTTAATTCAACACTTCCTATTTTTTATGACAAATATAAGGAATTGGATTTGCTTTTCTTAGAGGGTAATTTAATATATGGATCAATACCTCCAGAGTTTGGTAATATACCAAAGCTAAGATTGTTAGATCTTGGTTTTAATTCAATTGATGTAAGTAAAAATAAAAGTGTATTAATAAAAATGATAATAATGGTTTGATACTAATAAATTTTATTATTTACAGGGTAATTTACCAGATAATATTTCAAATTTAAAAGAATTGGAGTCATTTTGGTTATATGATAATTCAATCGAGGGTACTATTCCACAATCATATGGTCAATTAGAAAAATTAAAGTTATTTGAAGTTACCAGAAATAAAATTCATGGTAGTTTAGAAAATATTTTTACAAATACGCCCCAATTAACCGTAAGATTATTTTTATCATTTAAAAATTTATTAAAAATTTGTAGAAAAATTAATTAACAGATTTATTTTAATAACTACAGAGTATTAGATTTTCAGATAATGGTTTTGGTGGTTCATTACAATGGATTTGTGATATTACTAGTTTAAGAGATATTGCATTGGATATTAATGAGTTTACTTCATTACCAGATTGTACCGATAAAATTCCACTTTTATTAAATGATGTTATTTTAAATTCAAATAAACTTCAAGTACGTATAATTATATTGTTTCAATGATTATTAATATTTCCATTGTTTTATAGATTTTGTTAATATTTATTTTTTTATTTTAAATAGGGAATGATACCAGAATCAATGGGAAATTGGGTTAGTTTAGAATATTTAAATTTAGCAAAAAATAATTTAACTGGTATTATCCCAAAAACCTTTAAAAATATTTTAAACCTCAACAGAATTTCAATTGATAATAATAATTTTAATTGTTCACTTAGTGAAATATTGGATCCAATCAAAGGTCAAAAACATGCATGTATTTCCCTCTTTTTATCTATTTTTAAAATTTAATTTTTTAAATATTAACATTTTTATAATTTTTTATTTAGTTAACTATAATTTCAGCTCAAAATAATGAGATATATGGAGAATTTGTTGAGGAAATGGTTTGGGATAGTGTTTCTCAGGTAGAACTTTTGACCAAGGTTTTTATATTCAATTTCAAATCCAACAGATTAAGTGGTCCATTAAGAGAGTTTATTAGTTGGATGCCCAATTTAAATGAATTAGATTTTAGCAATAATAATTTTAGTGGAAGTATACCAAACGAGTTAAACTACTTATCAACGCTTTACTTAGAGAACAATCCATTATTATTTGGTGAGAATGGAGGAGATTTGCCCATATATATGGAAATTAGTGACACTTTTATCCATTTAGAAAAAGAGTATTTTTCATGTCCCCAAATTGTCGGAAAAGGTATAGAAATGCGTATTTCATTAGATTCAAGTTACTATAACCATAGTTTTTGTAGATGCGATGCAACATATCGTGGTTTAAATGGCTCATGTATATTATGCCCTGAAAATGCAGTATGCCCAGGCAGTGGTAATGATATTTTGATCCCAGCAGGTTTTTTCCCATTTCCATCATTTGAAGAACCAAAATATATTTTAACATGCCCAATTTCAAATTTTGGTAAAACATCATGTAATCCAGATAGCTCTTACAATTATACATGCAGAACAGGTTATGAGGGAAGGTTATGCTCAAAATGTTCAGAAGATTATTTTCAAAAAGGTTTGGAGTGCTCCAAGTGTCCAAATGGTTGGCAATCAACATTAATTTTTGTTGTAGTTGTTGTTGTCTTTATAATATTGTTCCTATTCTTTGTTTTAACAGATCCAAAGCGTAGTTTGCCTTCAAGTACTAGAAAAACTGTAATTTTTTATTATCAAATCTTTAATTTACTTTTATCAAAATTATCACCGTAAGTATTGTATATTTATAATATAGATGTATAAAAATATGTTTTAATACCCCTTTTTAGTTGGCCCTCATTCTTTTCAGCATTTTATTCAGGTAGTTCTTGGTTAAACTTTTCATTTGGTTTCTTATGTATTGGTAGTTTTGCAAAGTGGCCTAATTTATTTATTGTTATTTTTTGCTTACCTTTTGTTTTCTTTGTTTTATCAATTATTTTTATTTGTTTAATGCAACTATATGTTTTCATCAAATCAAAAGGAAATTGCAAAATAGACAAAACCTTATTTTACTCTGGCATCCGTGTAAACTTATTAGCTGCCAACATTCTATATTTACCAATAACCACTTATACATTCCAAAACTACCCATGTATAGAAGATACAATTTCTGGTTCAAAATATATGTCATTTTTCCCATATATTGAATGTGGTAATAATTCAACTTATAATAATGTGTTCCGTCTAACTGTGGCATCAACAATTATCTATGTAATAGGTATTCCTGCATTATTTGCTTTTTTACTCTTTAACAACAGAAAAAGATTAGATAATCCAAAGGTTTTAAAAATGATAGGTTCAATTTATATTGACTATAGAAAATCAGTCTTTTGTAAGTATTTATAGTTTTATTTAATATTGATTTTTTATATATTAATAAAAATTTTTATTATAAAAAAAGGGTATGAATTAGTAACACTTTTAAGAAGATTTATGTTGGCTGTTTCTTTGGCGTTAATTAATCCAAAGTCATCATTTAGTGTTTTTGTTGTATTATTGGTTATTGGTTCATCAATTATAAATCAAATTATGTTTAAACCTTATGTATATAAAGTTTCAAATCTTGCAGAGGTAATTATTTATTTTTTTATTTTTAATAAAATCAAATTTATATTTGATATTAACATAATTTTATTATTTTATAGGTAACAGGAAATTCTGTATTATTATTTAGTTATATTTGTATTTTAATTTTATCATCTTTAAGATCAACCAAATTATATGATTCAAAAGGAATTGAAGTAATTTTATCAGTTGTAGTGGTTTTATATACTATTCTTTTGGCAATTTTATTTATATTTTCATTAAAATATTATTTACCAAACAAATGGCAAATTATAATAGACACCAAGATTCTCAAATTAATCGATTATTTAAAACTAGTATCAAATAAATACCTATCAAATGACAAAAGAGTACTGGATCCAGAAGATAGTTTCGAGACAACAAAAGAACCAATATTTGAACGTACTGCAAGTTCATTACATGGAATTGAGCTCAAAAGAAGGGCATCACAAATGTCATCTTTAAATAATAGCATTTCTGGCTACAATGAATATGCAATTAAAATATCGCAATCCCACCAACAGTTAAGTGCTACTCCAGTTTCTCCATTAAAAGAATTTAACTCTGCACCAAATTTAAATACTTTAACTAATAGTAGTTTAGAAAATATATCAATTGATAATAGCACCCAAACCAATTTAAATAATGATAGTAACGATAATTTACAAGATGCAACAATAAACAATGAAGAAAAAGTGGAAGAAAATAATATGCAACAATAGCAATATAAAAAAAAAAAAAATTAATAAAGTATTTTTATTATTTTAACTAAAATTTTGTTTTAAAACAAAAAACTATTTTTTAATATATAGGTTTTTTTTTTTTATTAATAGTACAAAATATTTTATTTTAATTATCATTATTATTTGTATTCATATTTGTATCTGTATCTGTATCTGTATTGGTATTGGTATTGGTATTTATATTTATATTTGTATTATTTAACTCTTCAACTGATTGTGATGGTGAAATTAAATTGGCATTGCTTTTTTCTTTTTTTAACTTTGAACTACTTTTTTCTTTTTTTAATCTAAAAGTTAGATATGGTTTTAGGTCATCTAAACTTTTATGTTTACCATTGGTGACGGGTGAAGTTGGGGCGGGTGAAGTTGATGAGGGTGAGGTTGTTTGAGAGTTTTCTGCAGATTGTTCATTTAAAGATGGTTGGGAAATAAAATTCTTTAAATAAATGCTTTGTTTGATCGATTCGATTTGGAACAAGTGTTGAAGATAAACTTCTAACATTAGCCTTCTTGATTCTACAGTATTACTGCCTAATGAGTTAATATAATGTTTCTTTGGTAAATCTTTTAATTTTTCAGTTGGGAATTTCTTTGTTAATTTTTTGTTGAGGTTATCAAAGTCGCTATATCTTTTAACTATATTGAAGCATTCACCTGTTTCATCATCACTAATTGAAATATTATAAACTGTATATTCTTTTTTACCTGCTTCTTTTTTACTTTCTGATTTATTTATAATAACAGTATAGCTTTTATCTGTATTAAATTCTAAATTATTATTTTCATTATTTATATTGTTATTTTCATTATTTATATTGGTATTATCACTATTTTCATTATTACTATTATTATTTATATTATCATTATCATTATTACTATTGTCATTATTATCATTATTATTTATATCTAAATTTTCTAAACTATTATTTATATTATTTTCTCCATTATTATTTTCTAAATTATTTTTTTCTGTATCCTTTATTAAATTGGTACTTGAACTATTATTATTATCTAAAATTATTGTTGATGGTCTATTTTGTTTTGATTGTTTACAATTTTGAATGTGGTTTAATAAATAGGATTTTTCATCATTATTTTCAGTTGCTAAAAATGCAGTAGTTCTACCTAAAATTAACTGGAATGAATTTTTAATTACTTGACTATCTTCGATATCTTTAAGTTTGGTTGATGGGTCATTTAAATCAAAGAAATATTTTAATTGGAAACGGTGAGAGGAGTTTTCTTTTTCAGTGATTAAAATAGCATTATTGAAAAGGAAGTATGTTAGTTTTTGAAGATCTTTAGAGAATCTTGTATCTAATTGACAATCCAAAATATAACCTTGTTTAACAAAAAGACGTGTTGGCTGTACCAATTCACCCTTTTCCTCATCCCAACCAACAAGTGATTTTTGAATTTCTAAAACTTTTGATTGTAACTCAGCGATCTTGATACTCTTATTTACTTCAGAGGCAACTGATTGAATTTTTCTGAGTGCGTTTTGAAGGTTTTCATAGTCTGGGTGGTCTTTCCAAGTATGTGATAAGAGGTCGTTGATTAATAAAATATATCTTGGGATTCTTTGAACTACTGTAATTAATAATGATTCTAAACTTTGTTTCATTTTGTTTTCTGGGTGATCTAAACAAGCTTTAATAAAGAGATTAAAGGTTTGATTCTTTTTTGCTTTTTGTAAACAGAGAATAGCAGTATCATAGTTGAGGCAATATTGTTTATAAAGTTTCATATAGGGTACAGCAGAAAGGAAAATATCACCAACCTTTTGATAATGGCTCCAAGTTTCGTTGACCTTTCTTAATTGGCTAAGTAAATCGCTATTGAATGAAAAAATTTGATTGATTGTTGAAAAGATGGTATTTATATCTGGCATTGTCAAGTATGGAGTTGGAGAAACTTTGGCATTCCACATAATTTGTTTATAAAAAATATTAACAATCATTTCTACACATTGCACATAGGTCTCTTCTGTTGATAAAATTTCACCAAAACAACGATTTCTATGGTTATTAAATTTCTTTCTTTGCTTTAAGACCTTTCTACTTTTATAGCCTCTAATGAATCTTTGGCAATCAACAATTTTTCCTAAGAAATCTGGGTTGTTATATCTATCAAAATCTACAGGCGATATTTTAACAAGAAGTGGTACTTTGGTAATTGGTTTTTCTTTTTTCTTCTCATCTACTTTAACTTTGAACCAGCCTTGACTAGGAGTTGGTAATGAAGATGTTGATAAAGATGATGAATCACCACTGGCTTCTTCATTGTTCATATTTGGTATACTACCAGAAGAAGCTGACATTAATGGACTTTTTAAAGATAGAATTGCAGATCTTGTTACCATACCACTGAATCTTCTTGAGTTACGACCACTACTAGAGTTATCAACGATGGATTGTCTAGATTCTCTTTTCCATGATGAGGTAGAGTTTGTTGATGAACCAGTAACTGAAGTAGATGCAACTGAGTTTAATGATGATAATGATGATGTTGAACTTTGTGCCTCAAACGATGATGTAGATGATACAATTGGCGATCTTTTCTGGTCACTATTATTAATATTATCTTCCTCTTCGGTAGTGTCACCATCATCGTCATGAATTGAATCCAAATGTAAATCTTCTTCTTCGGAATCAGTGTCCTCTAGTATGATTTCTTCGTTATCAATTTTATTTGATGAAATTGGTGTGGTGGTAATTGATTGATTTATCATACCATCAGCATTAAATGGTATTCTTCTACTATTCTTTCTTATTCTGCTAATCTTTAGTTTTTTACCTTGACCAAATAAATAAATAATATAAATAATACTTTTAATTGTTTTTTCATTACCATCAGCAATATCTAAAAAAAAAAAAAAAAAATTAATATTTTAATATTTTAATTTGATAATAGTTTGTTTAAATAATCTTTACCTTGAGGACTATATAGTGTTGAAATTTGAAATGAATTATTTTTCATAAAATTTAAAGCTATACTGGCATTTTCAATTGATTGAATTCTTGTTCTTGGTTTTTTAAAATATTTTGTAATTGGTCTGTTGGTTATGACTTGTAATAGTTCAATAATTATAACTGAATCTTTAAAATCGTCGATACTATTGACTATAATTTCTTTTTCTTTTAAAATATTTTGAACCCATTGTACTTCCTTTGAGCTATTATTATAATTATTCATTTTTTATTTATGAAAAAAAAACATTTAATTTATTTGTAAAAAAAAAAAAAAATATAAAACAAAAAATTATCTTGAAAATAGTGTGTGATTATAATTGTGTTAATTTATGTGTGTTGTTATTATTATTTTTGATACTATTGGTTTTTATAATAAAAAATAAAAATATTAAAGATATTTTATTTTAAAAAAAAATAAAAAATTTGTGTAAAAAAAAAAATTTTAAAAAAAATAGTTTTTAAAAAATTTTTAATCAATTTATTTTTTTTTATTTTTTTATTTATTTTTTTTAAAAAAATAAACAGTAAAAGTTTAAATTTCTCTTTATTTATTTTTTTTTTAAATTAAAAATAATAAATTAAAATAAAACAATAAAATTAGTTAATTTTTTTTTATTTACTATTATGAAAAAAAAATGATATGGCTACATGATATGCAATATCATTTTATCATTCTTTTTTTAATTATTATAATAATGAACTAATATATTAAAAAATTAAATAAAAAAACAAATAATTTTTTATTTTTTTTTTATTTTACAAATAAATTAATTTTTTTTTTTATTTATTTTTTTTTAATTTTATTTTTAATTTTTTTAATTTCATTCAATTAATTATTTATTTTTTTTTATATGTTCATTTCTTTTTATTTCTATTATACAAATTATTATCATTAAAAAAAAAAAAAACTAAAAAAAAAAAAAATATAAATAGTTTTATAAAATAATGAACAATACAAGCCCAACTAATTTGGGGCAATCATTAGATAATTTAAATATGTCTTATGATTCCAACCAATATTTATCACCATCTCTAAATGGATCAACTGATGAATTTTTAGATTATTCAGAGCACGAAAGATCTGAAATGTCAGTATCAAATAATCTATGGTTTAAAGAAGCTATATTTTACGAGGTAAACAGTTTTAATTTATTATTATAATAATTTAAAAATATTAATTACTAATTTCATATCTATTATTTTTTTTTAAGGTATATGTCAGAGCATTTTGTGATATTGAAGGTACAGGTAATGGAGGTATATCTGGCATTACAAATAAATTAGATTACCTTCATTCTCTTGGGGTAGATTGCATTTGGTTATTACCAATATATCCATCCCCACTAAAAGTAACTATATAAATATTTTTTAGTTTTAAAAAAAATATTAATTTAATTTTTTTTTTTTTTTTTTTTTTATTAATTTTAGGATGATGGGTATGATGTATCTGACTATTGCGATATTCATCCAGACTATGGAACATTAAATGATTTTAAAATTCTAGTCAAAGCGGTTCATGAAAGAAATATGAAAATTATTGCTGATTTTATACCTAATCATTGCTCAGAAAAACATAGATGGTTTCAATCAGCAAGATTATCAAGAGATTCACCATATAGAGACTACTTTGTATGGACAGATGATCCAAAGCAATATAAAGATGCAAGAATTATTTTTTTGGATGTAGAGCAATCAAATTGGGTAATTATCCATTTAAATTTTAATTATTTTTTTTTTTTAAAAAAATTAATTTTTTAATTTTTATTTATTTTATAGACATGGGATGAAGCAGCTGGTCAATATTATTGGCATAGATTTTACAAAGAGCAACCTGATTTAAATTTTGATAATCCAAAAGTTCAAGCAGAAATGTTAAATATTATGGATTTTTGGTTAAATTTAGGTATTGATGGTTTTAGAGTTGATGCTGTACCTTATTTATGTAAATATAGAAAATAATAAATATAAAATAATTTTAAATCAATTATATTAATAATTTTTTTTTTTTAAAAAAAATTAAAATTTTTAGTCGAAAGAGAAGGAACATCTTGTGAAAATTTACCAGAGACTCATGAATTTTTAAAAAGAATGAGAAAGTTTATAGATGACAAATATCCTGGTAGAGTAATTTTAGCAGAGGCATGTCAAATGCCAAACGAAGTAAGAAAGTATTTTGGTGATGGTGATGAATTTCATATGGGTTTTCATTTTCCAGTAATGCCTAGAATTTATATGGCTATTAAGAGGGGTGATGGTGAATGTTTAAGGGCTATTATGGAATCTACTCCAGAAATTCCATCTAATTGTCAATGGGTAACTTTCTTAAGAAACCATGATGAGCTAACACTAGAAATGGTTACAAATGATGAAAGAAAAGAAATGTGGGAATATTATGCACCAGTTCCAAGAATGAAAATTAATTTGGGTATTCGTAGACGTTTAGCTCCATTAATGGGTGGTGACCAAAGAAAGATTGAATTGGCATATTCTTTATTATTTACCTTACCAGGATCACCAATCATATACTATGGGGACGAAATATGTATGGGTGATAATATTTGGTTAGAAGATCGTCATGGTGTTCGTACTCCAATGCAATGGGATGATACTCCACCAAATGGAGGTTTTTCAACTTCAAATAAACTCTATGCTCCAGTAATCGATGACCCAGAATATGGATATCAAAAGGTTAATGTTACAGAATCTGAAAAAGCTCCAGCATCTCTTTTCCAAATTATTCGCCAGATGATCCAAAGAAGAAGAAAGCATTTAGCGTTTGGACATGGTGCATTTAAATGGGTAAACTCTGAAAATCCACAAATAGCTGCTTATATGAGAATTTGTGGTATCGATAGAATGTTTATTGTTCACAATTTATCGGATGTAAAACAAGAAGTTGTTCTTCATACCCATGTTCATGATGGAGCAACCTCATCAAGACACCAAAGAAGAGCTTCTCTAGTTTACGTAGACCCATTACAACAACAATATCATCCTACCACTTCTAGTACTAATACACTCGGTATCAATAATCTTACAGACTCTAAAGTAACACCAGTTGCAACAAGAAAGGTCCACACTAATTATCAAACAACACAAACTTTAGGTACCCAAACAAAACCATTAACTTCAAAAGAAGAATATCAATCTCAAAATAACTCTGAATCAGGTAAACCACCAGTAATACCTTTCTTAAATGTAGAAACTGCATCCTATGATGAACAATCTCATTATCTTGTTGATATTTTAACAGATTATCAAGTTATGGTTGACCAAAATGGTTTTGTAAAAATGGAACTAGAACCATATCAATTTTATTGGTTCTCAATGGGTGAAATCACAACACTAGGTGATGGTTGTAAGAGTCGTGATTTACGTCGTAAATCCATTTTCCCTGGTTCAACTTTAGATCCTTCAATACTCCATCCAATAAAAACTCATTTTTCTGCTGATAAAATTGAAGAATAAAAATTTTATAAAAAATAAATAAAATAAAATAATTTTAAGAAAATATAAATATCTAAAAAAAGTTTATTTAAAAAATAATTTATAGTTATAATTAATAAAATTTTTTAATTAATAATATTATATTTGATTTTTGCCTTCTTATTGAACTCTTCACTATTGCTATAGGTATTCATAATACTACTTAAACTATTACTGTTTCTACCCGAATATGAATATTTGGGACCTTGTTTTTTTAATGGAGATAAACTACTGCTACTTGTTTTCTTTATTGGGCTGCTATATAATTTTTTGGCTGTTGAAGCGAAAGGTGATGTTGATTGTTGTTTTTTAAATGGAGATAATGTTGATGAATAACTAGTTGTGGTTCTAAATGATGATATTGAAATATTATCAAAATCGTTTATAAATGAACTGTTATCATTTTCAAGATCTAAATTATTTTGATGTTTTGGTTGAGCTGATCCTTTAAGCTCTATTACTTTATTTTCGATTAAACTTTTTACAACTATTGATGTTGGGATATTCACTACTTCGCTTAAGGAAAATTTATTAACTTTTTCGAGTGGAATTGGTACTAAATTGTTTGGGGTTTTCATATATTCCGAGATAATTGATTTTAAAAGCCAATCGAATTGTTTATGCTCTTCATCACTTAAGCTGAGGTAACTGAAATAAAATTGATTCTCAAGATTGGTACTAGTTGGTACACAGCTTTCGCAGGTATCACAAATTTTGATATCACCACATTCTCTTAACTTGTTTATAATGTGAGCATTGTTTGAAAAACTATGGACTGCTTTACAAAATGGTGAAATTGATTTTTCTAAACTTTCGATATTCTTTGGTAAATTGATTTCGTCACCTCTTTCAATTCTTTCTTTAATCCATTTTTCAACTTTTAAAGTGGCTTTATTTTGTAATTCTGAAACTTGTTCTTCTTTGGTTTTATTTGAGCCATCATCATCCTCACCAAAAATTTGAAAATAACAGTTGTACTTTTCGGTATCTTCTTTTGGAACTGAGGAACCAACAATATCATAGCCAACAACTTTATCTTCAGTTAATAATACAATGTTTTTATTATGGTTATAAACATATTTGCAGAGCTCTTTTCTATAAGCAAGACTGCTAATGGTGCTATCCAATTCAAATAACACTCTGCCATCACCACTCTTTACGAATCTATCTTTTAAAAACAATTTTGAGTTTTTATCACCAATTCCACACTCTCTACACTTTGGACTAAATTTACTTTTGATAATTACTAAAATTATAGCATCCTCATTCTTTAATTTACCAAATAATGTTTGATTTAATAATCTATTACATTGTTTATTTGAAAAACTTTGAAGGTCGACAATAAAAATTTGTTTATAATTTGATAAAACTATAAATATTTTATTAGAATTACAATATAAATTTTTTTAATTTTATATATTAATTAATATTTACCTTCTGGTGATAATGATGGTAAATGTATAGGTAAAGTTATAACTTGTTTTTTTTTAACAACTCTTCTTTTACGAATTGACATACCAGAAACCATTTTATTAATTATTTATATTTATTATTATTTAATTTTATTAAATGAATTTTTTTTAAATAAAAAAAATATTTACAATTTTTTTTTTTTTTTTTTTTTTTGGGATTTTTCTTTTAAAAATAATTTTAAAAATATCTTTTTTTTAAAAAAAAATAATTGTTTTTGTATCAGATTAGAATATAATCGATTAATTTTTTTATACCTTAAAAAAAATTGATGTATTATTTTTAATCAATCAAAAAAAATAATAATAATAAATATTATTTAAATAACAATATTTTATTTATTTAATTATAAATAAATTAATTAATTTAAAAAAAAAAAAAAAATTAAAAAATTAAAAAAATAAAAAATTATAAAAAAAAAAAAAAAAAAACGAAATTTTCGTTTGGTCATTAAAATTTTTTTTTTGATTTATAATTATTTTTTTTTATTTTATTATTTCATAAATAAAAAATGTTAAAATATCAAGGATCAACACATTTTAGACAAAGAGTTATTTGTTCAACACTAAGTGGTAAAGCAATTAGAATTACAAATATTAGAGATGAAGACGAAAAACCAGGTTTAAGAGATTACGAAGCATCATTCCTTCGTCTTGTTGATAAAATTACAAATGGTTCAAAGATTGAAATTAATACAACCGGTACAACAATTACATATATTCCAGGTATTATTATTGGTGGTAAAAACATAGCACACGACTGTGGTAATTCAAGAGGTATTGGTTATTTTGTTGAAGCTTTAATTTGTTTGGGTCCATTTTCAAAAACACCTTTAGATATTACATTAAATGGTATTACCAATAACGATATTGATTTAACTGTATGTATATAAGAAATAATAATTTATTTAAAAGCAATAGTAATTAATTTTATTCTTTAAAAAAAATCAGATTGATACAATTAGAACCACTACATTACCAATTATTAGAAAATTCGGACTTGAAGAAGGATTAAATATTAAAATATTAAAACGTGGAGCACCCCCAAATGGTGGAGGTTCAGTTAATTTCAAATGCCCAATTGTTCCACAATTAAAAGCAGTTCAATTAATTGATGAAGGTAAAATTCGTAGAATACGTGGTATTGCATATGCCACACGTATTTCACCACAATTTTCAAATAGAGTATTAGATAAAGCCAAGGGTATACTTTTAGAACATACACCAGATGTTTACATTTCAAGTGATCATTATAAAGGAGGTGAATCAGGTTTATCACCAGGTTATGGTTTAACATTAGTAGCAGAAACAACTTCAGGTTGTTGTTTATCAGCAGAAATTATGAGTGGTGAAAAGAATAGCGAATCACCAGAGGATTTAGGTGAAAGAACTGCATATGCACTCTTGGAAGAAATTGCAAACGGTGGTTGTATCGATAGTCATAATCAAAGTTTAGCATTATTATTTATGGTTTTATGCCCAGAAGATATTTCAAAAATAAGATTAGGTAGAATAACACCTTACACTATCGAGTTTATACGTCAATTACGTGATTTCTTTGGTGTAACTTTTAAAATTCAACCAGATTCTGAATCAAAAACTGTATTATTTACATGTCTTGGTATTGGTTTTAAGAATTTGGCAAGAACTACTTTTTAAAAAAAAAAAAAAAAAAAAAAAAAAAAAAAAGAAAAGAAAACGAGACAAAAAAAAAAAACAAAAAAAACAAAATAAAACAAAGAATAATTTTATATATTTATTTCTATGTATATTTAATTAATTGTGTATTTATTTAATTGTAAAATTTGATAAATTATATTATTGCGGATATTAATTTTGTTTTAAATTTTTTTTAATTACTTTTTTTAGATTTCTAAATTAAAAGAAATATAAAATAGTTTTTTTATTTATTTATTTGATTATTATTATTTATTTATTCTTGTTTAACATTTCCAACTAAAATATATCTTTCTGAAAAGAAATTAATCCAGCCATTTAATGATTCTTTATGTTCTTCTGGTAATTCTTCAAGTGATTTTTCTGTCCATTTTTTATTGATATCTGCATCTTCGAATGAGGATTTGGCTAAACAAATTGTGGCATCATTACCAGAGAAGGTATTATAGGCACCACCTGGACCATATGTTGAGCTTTTGGCAGTGACATCATAAATTTTACCTTTGATTGCAATGAAAATTGGTTTGGTTTCGTCGGTACCATTATATTGTTTAAGTTCTTCTAATGTATAATCTCTTTTTTCATATTGTGGTTTTGGCTTTGGTTTGGCTACAACAACTTCTTTTGGTGATGCAATAACTTTGACAAGATATAAGATAATAATAATTAATACAGCATAAACAAGTTCTTCTGGTATATCAAACATTTTTAAATATATATATAAATTAAAACCTATATGTTAATTAATATAAATTTGGCAATATAGAAAACGATAATGAAAAAAATTTAAAAAAATTTAAAAAAATTAAAAAAAATAATTTTTTTAAAATTTTAAATTTAAAAAAAAAAAAAATAAAAAAAAAATATATTAATTTAGATAAATATTAATTATTATTATTTTTTTTTTTTTTTTTTATATATACATTTACCATCTATTACAACATTTTATTTATAAAGTAGTTAAAATAAAGTTACCTAACCAAACACCAAATTTATTCATTTTTTTATTATTTTTTTTAATTTGATTACAATGACCTCAAGTTTCAGTCTCCATTTTTATACTTAAACACTGTTTTATATTAAAGAATTTATTTAAATTTTTTATTGTTGAAGTTTTTTTTTTTTGGAAAATTATAATATAAATAGAACCTTATTTAAATAATTGGAAATGTGATCATTTTAATAAAATTTTAATTATTTAAATTAATTTTTTTTTTTTTTTTTTTTAATTTTTTTTTTTAAAATTTTTTTTTTTTTATTTTTAAAATTCTCCCCCCAAATTTTTTTTTTTTATTTTTCATTTTTTTGAAATCAATAGTTAACTATTAAATAATATTATTTCTTTTTTTTTCTATTTATTCCTATAGTTTTCCCATTTTTATTATATTTTAGAAATATATATATTAAATAGAAATATAATTTTAATAAATAAATTATAATTATATATTTGTAGGTAAAAAAAAAAAAAAAAAAAGAAAAATGTCAACTTCTACAACATCTTCAACTAGCAGTAATGGTAATAGTAATTCAGTTAGTTTAAATTCAATTGCAGTATTTGAAAGATTAAAGTTATTATATGAATCATGGAACAATGATGGTAGTAATGGTCTTTGGAAAGGCGCCAACTCATTAGTGTTGGCTTTAGGTTTACCAAACGAAAATAATCCATATCAAAAGATTACATCATTTCAAACTTGGTTATTTGGTTATGAATTAAGAGAAACTGTAATTGTATTTTTAAATAAAGATATTCATATACTTTCAAATAATAAAAAAAGTAATTATATTAAAGAAAATTAAAATATAAATCTTTAAATACTAAAAATTTTCTTTTTTAATATAGTTAATTTATTTGAAAATTTAGCAAACTCAAAAGAAGGTAAAGAAAATGAACAATTTAAATTTCATTTTTATTTATTAAGCAAAGATAAAAATGAAGGAAATAAAGATAGTTTCGAAAAGTTAATTAATGAAGCAAAAAAAGCAGGAAATAATGTTGGTGTTATTATTAAAGAAGTATTTTTAGGAGAATTTGGTAAACAATGGGATGAAAATGTTAATAATAGTGGGTTAAATAAAGTCGATATCACACAAGGCCTTTCATCATTGGTTGCCGTTAAAGATGCACAAGAACAAAAGAATATTATTACATCATCAAAGATCACATCAAAGGTATTAAAGACTCATTTATTACCAAAGATTGAAACCATTATCGATAAAGGTCAAACCATCACTCACGATGAATTATCAGAATATTCAATTGATATCTTTAGTCATCCAGAGAAGATTAGCAGCAAATTACCAACCGACAGTGTAGATTACTCTTATGTACCAATTGTTCAAAGTGGTGGAAACTATGATTTAAAAGCAAGCGCTACAAGTGATGAAAATCCACTCCATTTTGGCACTATTATTATTTCAGTTGGTGCTCGTTACAAAAACTATTGCTCCAATGTTTCACGTACCTATATGATCGACCCAACTAAAGAACAAAGAAAAAATTATGAGCTTTTATTATTGGTCCAAAGCAATTTAATTAAAGCAATCAAGCCAGGTGTTTCAATCAATCAATTATACGAAAAAGCTGTTGAAACTATTAATAATACAAGACCAGAAATGCTTAAGCACTTTGTAAAGAATTGTGGTTATGGTATTGGTATCGAATTCCAAGAGTCAAACTTGATAATCTCACCAAATAACTCTAGACCAATCAAAGAGGGTATGACTTTTAATATTGTTTGTGGTTTCTCAAATGTCGAAAACCCCCAAGCTAAAGATGATAAATCTAAAATATATGCTTTGATGATTGCCGATACTATTCTCGTAAATAAAGAAGGTAAAGTTGAAGTTTTAACATCAGAAGTTGGTAAAAAAGATGGAGATGTTATTTATCAATTAAGTGATAAAGAAGATAGAGAAGAAGAAGAGGATGATCCATCTGTTAAATTAGAATTACCAGAAGATGTAAAAGAAATTAAAGGTAGAGCAAGAGAAACCAAAGAAAAATCAAAGACAATTGAAGAGCGTCGTAGAGATCATCAACAAATGCTTGCCCAAAGAAACAAAGAGGAGGCTGAGAATAAACTTAAAAAGTTGGAAGATCAAACTAACGGTAAAAAAGAATCACCAGATTTGGATTATACAGCAATTACCAAACTTCCATCAATCTACAGCAATGTTGGTGCATTCCCACCAGAAACAGTAAAGAATAAAATGTTGATTGATAACAAAAAAGAAACTATCCTCTTCCCAATCTATGGTTATATGGTACCATTCCACATTAGTACAATCAAGAATATCAGTAAATCAGAAGAATATATCAGAGTAAACTTTAACACCCCATCATCATTTACACAAGAGCAAATTGATGCCGGTTTTGCACCACCACAACTTATGTACATTCGTGAACTCACTTATAAAGTTAGTGATCCAAAAGCTTTAGCCAATAACCTTCGTCTCATTAAAGATTTAAAAAAGAAATTTACAACTCGTGAAAGTGAAGATCGTGAAAAACGTACTCTTATTGCACAAGAAAAACTTATTCTTTCTCGTGGTAAATTCCCAAGACTTCCAGAGGTTCATGTCCGTCCAACACTTACTGGTGCCCGTAGAACTATTGGTATTCTTGAAGCCCACGATAATGGTTTCCGTTTCAATCCAACCTCAACAAAAGATAGAACCCCAATTGATGTTCTTTACAAAAATATTAAACATGCAATTTTCCAACAAGCTGATCAAGAATCAATGGCTGTTATTCATTTCCATTTAATTGATCAAATTATGATTGGTAAAAAGAAAACTAAAGATGTTCAATTCTATATTGAAATTTCAGAAATGACCCAATCTCTCGATGTATCAAGTCGTTCATTCAACGAAGAAGAAGAGGAGGAGCGTCGTGAAAGACAACTCAAAGAAAAGATTAATAATGACTTTAAAACATTTATTAAACGTGTCGAAGAAATTGTACCAGAACCAGGCCTCGAGTTTGATGTACCATATCGTGAATTAGGTTTCTTTGGTGTTCCTAATACTAGTACTGTATTCATTCAACCATCCGTCCACTGTCTTGTTTCAATTTTAGAACCACCATTCTTTGTTTTAACTCTTGATGATGTCGAAATCGCTTGTTTTGAAAGAGTTATTCGTACACTTCGTAATTTCGATCTCACTTTTGTCTTTAAAGATTATAATAGACCACCAATCCGTATTGATGCTATCCCAAGAAACCATTTCGAAACTGTAAAAGAATGGCTCGATTCATTCAATATTAAATTTTATCAATCCGAAAAGAATTACAATTGGAAGAGACTTATGGATATCATTAAAAGTGATTTAAAGAAATTCCATGAAGACGGCGGTTGGTCCTTCTTAGAACCAGTAGAAGAGGAACAAGGCGAAGAAGAAGATGATGGCGACGATGATTATGAACCATCAGAATCAGAAGCATCAAGCGATTACATCTCCTCAATGTCATCAGGTTCCGATGATGATGACGAATCAGAATCGGCTTCAAATTCTGGTGAATCTTGGGAAGATTTAGATGAACAAGCTGACAAATATGATAAAAAGAAATCTTTTGATGAATCAAATAAAAGAAAGAGAGATGATTTGAAACCAACCTCATCATCATCATCAGGTAAACCATCTTCATCATCATCCTCAAGTAAACCATCTTCATCATCATCATCAAGTAAATCATCATCAAGCAAATCCTCTTCAAGCAAACCATCTTCATCATCATCATCAAGTAAGTCATCCTCAAGTAAATCCTCTTCAAGTAAACCATCCTCATCATCAAATAAATCATCCTCTTCAAGTAAATCATCCTCCTCAAGTAAATCATCAAGCAAAAAATAAAATTTTTTTAAAAATATATTAATTTCTTTTAATAAATAAAATAAATAAAAAAAAAAGTTATAATTATCTTTATTAATATTAAAGAATAAAATACCTTTGTTTCTTCGAATTTATTTTTTTTTTTTTTTTTTTTTTTTATTAAAAATTTTAAAATTAAATTTTTCATTTTTTTATTTTCATAATTTTTACATTTAATAACAAAGCACTTAAAATGGACCCATTTTCTGATGATGTAGATTTAGAATTTTTATACATGCTTCAAGAAACTGTTGATGATACCAATAATAGCACCAATAACAATGAGGAATTCGATTTACAATTAGATGTCAATGATACATTTGATAATATAAATAATTTAGATAATAACAATAATAATAATAATAATAATAATAATAATAATGATAATGATAATATAACCAATAATAATATAACCAATAATAATATAAATAATAGTAATTATAATAATAATAATAATAATGTTAATAATGATATTATCTGTGATAAAATAAATAAAAATATAAATTATTCAAATAATATTAATAATGTAAATAATATAAATAACAATAAAAATGAAAATTTTAATAATGATGAAAATAATAAAACTATTAATATTGGTGGATATAAAATAAGACCTGTTCCTCTTCCACCACCATTATCACCCACCCCAACACAGGTTCAAAAACCACAAACACAACAAGCACCACAACAAGAAAAACCACAAACACAACAACATGAACCACCACCACCACAACAACAACAACAACAACAAAAAAAACCCTTCATAAAACCACCCTCATTTCCAAAAAAAATCAATTCTCTTTCCAAACCAATACCCCAATCTATTTTAAACACACCCTATAATAATAAAAATCATGATAATAATGATAATGATAATAATAATAATTACGATACTAAACCTTTAACAAATATTGATGTTCAAGTTATTCAATCAAGAAAGGCTTACTCATCTCACCAACAACTGAACAATAATATTAATGTTAATGAATGGGTTCAATCTCCAAGCAAACCATCAAAATCAATTTTTAAACCACAATCAAAAGGTAGTGAATTTATTTTTACCGAGGAAGATGATTTAAAAGAGGACCCTTCATTTTTATCACCCCCACTTTCACCAGAACCACAATCTCACCAAAAACCATTTCAACTTAAATCCCCTGTTTTATTACAAAAACAACAACAACAACAACAAAATCAAAAACAATTTCAAAAGTCACCATTTAAACAAACCCAAGTCAATAATTTTGGCTTCAATACCTACATGAAAAATACTAACATCCATGATTCACCAATTGAGTCATTTAAATACTCTCCAAGTAAGAGGCCCAACACAAGTACAACATCAACAACATCAATAAAATTTGAGCCAGTTGTTATTGGCAAAGAATTTAAAGAAGAAAAAAAGGATATTGAAAAAGCCAACATTAATGATAAAAAACCGGAAACAAATAAATTAAAGACACCAAATGGTTATAAAGCAATCAATAAAACATTCAATATTCATCAATTAAAAGAACAAATGGAAAGTTTAGAAATATCAGTATTAGTCTGGGGTGTATTTTTTGATAATGACAAAACAAACTTTGGTGAATCAACTATCAAAAAAAGAAAACACGGTATCATTTCAAATGAGCCATTGGCCTATTGTATTTTTATTGTTTCGAAAGGCAATGAAACTATTGATGACAGCAGCGATGAATATGAACAGCCAACAGTATTTAGCCGAAATAACTCCAAATCATCTTTATCACAATCGTCCTCATCATCATCTCAAAATATATTTAATAATGAGATACCGGATAGCTATATAATAGAAAAATACTTTATAACACTAATTGATAATGTTGGTGGTTTAGTTGAAGAAAAATTAAAATTTATGGTAGAAATATTAGAAAATGGTTTAATTAAAAAGATCAGCTACAATTGTTCCGATGGCTACAAGCCATTTATAAAGCAATATCCCTATATGAAACCGATCAATTCATTCGATATAAAAATTGCTGCTTGGTTATTAAATAGTGATGGTGGAAACAATGGTTATTCATTCGAAAAGGTCCAAGAATATGGCAAGGACGAATCAATTAAAACCATTCAAAATATTTCAAATAGAAATATAATGCAAAATCAATCTGAAAAAATAAAAAAACTCATCAATGAAGAAAATGAATTTTCAAAAGAAAATACAAACTATGGTTCATTTTCTCAAGATATAGTCTATTCATTAAAAATCTATTTGGTTTTAAAGAATTTACTTTATGATAAAGACTTATCATATAACTTCATCGAAGAGATGTCAGTTGTTTCACTTATCTCAAGTATGTATTAAAAACATTATTAACTTTAAATCTATTTTTTATTTCAAAATATTCATTTTTTTTATTCATTTTTTCATCTTTATAGAAATGGAGTTGTATGGAATTTTATTGGAAACTAAAATCTTAAACCAATATAAGAAACTACTTGATGAAAAATCGGCAAATCTTTGTGAATACTTTAGAGATAACAATTTATTAAATCCAAGATCCATTCCACAAGTTACCAAAGTTATTTATCAAGATTTGAAATTAAAATTACCCCACCCACCTCCAACTAAAGTTGATAAAAAATCACTTAATGAAATAAAAGCATTGAATCCAAATCAAGAGGAATTTATCAACAATTTATTAATTTATAGAAATTTAGAGAAGATTAATAAAACATATATTTCTGCCTATTTAGAACTCGCCGATAGTTACTATGATAAATTTCATCAGAATCAAAATGAATCAAACAAAAAAGCTTTTATTAAATGTGATTGGTTACAATGCGGTACATCAACTGGTAGACTTTCTTCTTGCAATCCAAACATGCAAAACGTTTGCCGTAATACAAGTATAATCTCATTTGATGATGAAGAAGATCAAGCATCCAGCCAAATTGATGATTTGTTTTTAATGACCCATATCGAGGATGATCAAAATCAAAATCAAAACCATAATCAAAATCAAAATCAAAATCAAAATCAAGAGACTATTAATATTAGAGATGCTTTTATTTCAAGAGACGGATACACAATGCTTGCATACGATTATAATCAAATCGAATTAAGAGTCATGTCACATTTTTCAAATGATAAACATTTAATAAATTATTTTAACAATAATCAAGATGTAATTAGAAGAATGGCATCAAAACTCTTAAATAAAGAAATCAACGATGTTACTACTGACGAAAGAGAAAAAACAAAAAGAGTAGTTTATGGAATAATGTATGGTATAGGTCCACAATCATTAGGGAAACTATTAAAAATCAGCACCTCAGCTGCAGAACTTTTAATCAATAACTTTTATAAAGAATTTCCTCAAATTTCAAGCTTTATAACAACAACCAAGAACTCTTTAAAGCAAAATGACCCAGAAGTTAGAACAATAAGTGGAAGAATTAGAAAACTGGGTGAAATAAAGAATAGTTTTGATATTAGTATTGCAAAAAGAAGATCAGTTAATACAATTATACAGGGTAGTTCAGCTGATATCATTAAAAAATCCATGGTTAAAATTAATAATTTTTTTGGTGACATTTGTTCAATATTTAATAATAACAATAATAATAATAACAGTAACAATAATAACAATCAAATATCTCCAAGATTTTTATTACAAATTCATGATGAACTAATTTTTGAAGTTCCCACATTTTTAATAGAGGAGCACCGAGTCGATCTTTATATTAAATATTTGATGGAATCAGTTTCCAAAGATTTTAATTTAAAGGTAGATTTAAAAACCTCTTTAAAAAGTGGTCATAGATGGGGATCATTAGAGTCAAATTCGATACCAGAAAACTATATGGAGTTTATAAATAACTTGGATGATTTATTAAACGAAAATAAAATAAATTAATAATAATATCAAATAATAAAAATAATAAAAATTAAAAATAATATTATAATAATAAAAATTATAAATAATTCATCTCAGTAACAAAATACAATGGCGATATTAAATCAAATAACTTTTTTGATTAAATTAACAATATAAATAATATTAATAAATTAAGTTTTCTTAATATTATAATAAAAAGAAATTATTTTAAATTCAAAAAATCATTTTATTTTTTTTTTTTCTTTTTTTTTTTTTTCTTTTTTTTTTTTTTTGTTTATTTTTTAAAATTTTTATATAAATATTTATATTAAAAAAAGTAAGTGATTGTGATAAATCATTGGTGAAGATCGAAAATCAGATCTGGGTGTGTTTTTGATAACTAAAAAAAAAAAAATCAATTTATTTTTTTTTTAATTTTTTTAATTTTTTTTTTTTTATGATTACAGAAAAAATCGTTAAATTATTTTCATATATACATTATATTTAAATATATATATCATATTTATAAATAACAACAACAAAAATTCAAAAAATACACCCCACAAACTCAAATTATTCCCCCACACCCACACTACCACTCTTTAAATTCCCCCAACACAACCACATAAAAAGCTTCATTTTTATTTTTAAAATAATATGTAAATATTAAAAACAATAACAATATTATTTGTTTATATAAACATTAGGTTTTTTTGTGTTATGTGTGTTTTTTCTGCACATAATATAATCAAAAAAAAAGAAAAAATTTTATTTTATTTTTTTTTATTTTTTATAAAATTTTTTTTTTTTTATAAATTTTTAAAAAATAACGCATTTGCTCAATCCTACATTATATCATTTTTATTTTTATTTTTTGAAAAATAATATTATTAATAATAATAATAATAATTCTGTATATATATATTTTAAAATATTTTATTCTTTTTTTAAAATATTATTATTTTGTAATTTAATATTTTAAAATATTTAAAAATTTTAAAAAAAAAAATAAAATAATATAAATAAAAAAATAAATTTATATATATTATAGTGTATAATAAAAATAATAAAAATAATAATAATAATAGCAGTATAAAAATAAAAATAATAAAAATAATAATAATACAACATAATAAATAATTAAAAAATCTATTTTATTTATTTTTTTCTTTTTTCTTTTTATTTTTTTCTTTATTTCTCTTTTATTTTATTTATAAATCCTAAACACGCTTTTTTTTTATTTCTTATTATAATAATAAATACATATTATATAATAGCATTTTATGTATCAAAAAATTTAAATTTTCATATTTCATTTTTTATAAAATATTATTATTTAATAATAATAATAATAAGAAAAACAAACACACTAATATCTATCAAAAAACATTAGGACGAATATTATTTTTTTTTTTTTTTCCCAATATATAATTTATTTTTAAATTATTTTTTCTATTTTTAAATTTTATTTTCTTTTTCTTTTCTTTTTATTATATAAATATATAAATATTAATAATAGTATTAATTTCATTTATATTATATAAAAATATTCAATAATAATATAAAAACAAAAACAACAACAATAACAATAATAATATATAAAAATAGAAAATACAATAAATAAACATAAAATTTTTTTTTTTTTTTTTTCAAAAAAATTAAATAAATAAAAAATGTCAGATATCTATCCATTTTATAAACCTGATGAAGATAATATTATATTCAATCCAAATGTAAATAAAAAAGAAGGATTTCAAGCAATTAAATCATGTACATTAGCAAAATTGATTGAAAAATTAACATCAACAAAACAACTACGTAGGTTTTAGTTTTTGAGAGATTTATAGAAAATAATAAAAAGAATATCAAAATTAATTAAAATTGTAAATTTATTATAGACACATATTTTTCTTCAGCATTTTTCTTAACTTATAGAGATTTTACAACACCACTAGAAATTATAAATTTATTGGTACAAAGATATACAGGCCCACCTCCAGATTCAAGTAAAGATCATCTTAGGTTATTTGAAATCGAAGTTGATATAGTACAGTCAAAGTAAATATAGATACATAAATAATTTTAATAGATTAAAAAAAACAAAATTCTTTTTTAAAAAATATTAATAACTTTTTAATAATTTTTTTTTTAGTGTTTTAAATCTTTTTAGACAACTTATTGGGACATTAATACATTCAGATTATGAAAATCAAAAAGTTTCAAGTTCAATAATAGAGTTTTTTAATTCTTTAGAGGAAAATACCAAAAATGAACTTTTTTTAATATATTTTAAATCGAAAAAACTTGCAAGACCTCCAGGTACAATTCCAAAAGCAACAAACCAACAAATTTCTTCAGCAGCCTCAACTATGAGATTTTCTTTTTCAGTTAGTCCAGTATGTATATTTTTTTAAAAAAAAATAAATAAACCTATTATATTAATATTTTTTCTATAGAAAACAATATCACCAAACTCTACAAATAATGTTTTAACAGGTTTATTATCAACAGCATCAACAATAACAAATGGTAATAATAGCAATAGTAGTAATGGTAATAGTGGTAATATACCTTCTGCATCATCGTCACAATCACAGCAACAATTACAACAACAAATTAATAATTTATCATCACCAAATTTTGATCAACAAAGATCATCAATTAAAATGGGTAAAGGTATTATGAAGTTATTACAATCAGCAAATGGGGGCGCAGGTTTAAATGGAACATATAAAGAATCGAATACAAGTCCACAAAGTTCACCATCATCAACTATGACAAGTGGTAGTACAAGTGCATTAATGAATCAAATGAATGCAATTTCATCAGAAAATAATCCTAATGGTAGTAGTGGTGAGATACCATCAACACCTCCTTCTTCAGGTGCAGAAAAAACAGCATTCTTCCCTGAAGCTATTGCAAGAGAATTAACAATTATGGAATTTGAATTGATAACGGCATTAAATGTTAGTGATATTACAAGCAAGAATTGGAATAGTTCAGTAAATATTCAAAATTTAACTACATGGTTCAATAGAATTAGTTCATGGGTGTCAACTAAAATTATTTCAAAAGAAACACCAGAAGAAAGAGCCATTATTATCGAAGCATTTATAAATATTGCAAGTTTTGCAAAAGATATAAAGAATTATAATTGTGTTATGGAAATTTTAGGAAGTTTACATAGTTCATCCATTAGTAGATTAAAAAACAGTTGGAGTGTAAGTATTTATATTTTATGGTTTTTTTAATAATTTATATATTTATTTTTTTATTTTAAAAATTTAGTTAATACCACAAAAAGCAAATGAAATGTTTCAAGTCTTAAATAATTTAATGAGCACTGACGGTAATTTTAGGAATTATAGAAAACAATTAACTACAGTGGCAGCTTCAGAACCATGTATACCATATTTAGGTTTATTTTTAACAGATTATACATATTTAGACGAATCAAATCCAGCATCAGTATCGAATAGTAAAATGATAAATATTGATAGAATACTTTTAATTAGTTCGCGTGTACAAGAGTTTTTCCAATTATTTACCAATTGTAGTTATAATTTCCAATCGAATCAAGGTGTTAGAGAAGCTATTTTAGGCGAGAAAGTATGGGATGAAAATGAAATTTTTCGTCTTTCAAAGATTAGAGAAGAAAGCGCAAATTCACCTTCTCAATCTAAAGAAACCAATGGTATTGGGAATAGTAATAGTACAAGTAGTAATTCATTATTATCATCTACTTCAGCTACTGTTAGAAAAAAGAATTTTGTAACCAAATATAGAATGTCATTTACTGGAAACGATCCACTACCATTTATTTCATCTTCATTAACCGAGAGAGAATGGAAAATTTTAACAACCAATGCTAAAACTCTATCGTTTACTCGTAACAAAACAATTTTATCAATCGGCGAAACAAATACCAATCTTTATAGAGTTATCTCTGGTAGAGTTAAAATTGAAAGTCTCAGATCCTACAATGACCCAGATGTTGATGAAACTTCAATTTTAGCAATCAAAGCAAAAAATAGACTCTCTTTAAATTTACCACCAATCGATGAAGGTTATTATATTGAAGAGGGTGAAATCTTTGGTCAAGAATCTTTCCTATATACCGATAGACCAATTTTAAACAATATTATTGTAGATTCAGACGAATGCGAACTAATGGAAATCGAAAAATCATTTGTACTTCATTTATTCACAAGTGAACATATTTTAGCAGCTACTTTTTATAAACATATTGCAACAGTTATGGCCGAGCGTTTAAAAACAATCTATACAAATTTCACAAGCAATGCAGGTAATGGTAATAGTGGTGGTAGTGGTGGCAGCACTAAGGATGGACCAAGTAGCGGTGGAACTTTAAGTGCTAGTGTTAGCATTGGTAATTTAAACTCACCATCAATCAACAAAATCGATTTCAGAAGAAGATCAACTATTGTAGAAACTCCCTCATCCTTGGATTTATTACGTGATGGAAATGATAACTCTGTTAGAACTAAATTTGGTCTTTCTCAAGATGAGGTTATTATCAAGCGTTATCAATGTAAACATAAGAATATGAATGGTACTCTTTATATTACCAAGCACAATATCTGTTTTGAGGGCAAATTTTTAGGTATGAACAAGAACAAAACTTTTGCATTTGACCACACCATCAATATTTTATGTGATAAAAATACTCTTTGTGTTGTTTATAAAAATCCAAGTGGTAATATCGAAAAGAATAAAAAGTTTGTTTTCAAGTCTCAAGATGATTTAAGCGAATCAATACCCATTGCACATCAAATTTGGTCCAATCATAGAGGCGGTCCTAAATTATATGCACCATCAGTCGCAGCTTCATCAACTCCACCCAAAGCAAATACAGTTGGTCGTGCCGAGTCATTTAGTAACATTAAAGACTTACCATCAAAAGAAGAGTGGAATCAAATTCTTAAAGGTACAAAACCTGTCATTTATAAAAAGGGAGACATTTTAATTTGTGAAGGTGTAGAATATCAAAAGATTTTTCAAATTGTTAAAGGTGAATGCTCTGTAGTTAAAAGTTTATTACCAATATTCAATACAACACCAGTTACATCGACTTCTACAACAAATCCTTTAGCATATTCAACAACCTCAAGTGCCAACACATCTACAGGTTCATTACTAAATAGTTTATCAAATAGTAATAGTAGTAGCACCAGCAATACCAATACTAGCAATACATCACCACAGTCTTTAGTTGATCCTAGAAATTCAGTTGTCATTTCAAAATTAACAGGTGGAGGTATTTTTGGTGAAATGTCATTTCTTTTACCTGGTGGTAGTGCAACATCTTTAGTGGTAACTAGTGACGAAGTTGAGGTCTATATCATCGAAAGTTACTTTTTACATATTATGTTAAAATCAAAACATAGTTTAGCCCCAAAGTTCTATAAATATTTAGCTTGTGTTTTAGAATCAAGAGTTAGAAATTTATTATAAATTCGTCAATATTTTTTATATAATTATTAATTATATAAAAAAAATAAATAATAAAAATTTATAATTGTATATAATAAAATAAAAATTAGTTTTTAGTTTTATTTTTTTTTTTATGTTTTTTTTTTTGATTAAATTATATTTAGATAATATCTATTTTTATTATAAAAAAAAAAAAAAAAATAATTATTTTATAATACAAAAAATAATTTTATTTAAATATTTTAAAAATTTATCGAAAGATAATTATATCTATTATTATATTGATTTATTTGATAATTATTATATTTTAAAATTTTTTTTATTATTATTTTAAACAGTTGGAATACCGATATTTGAATAGTTTTGATCTTTATATGATTTTTGGTTTGGAGATTTGTTAATATCAAATACTTTTTCGTAACTATTATAATCTTTTTTAATTGAAATATTAAAATCTAAATCTTCCTTTTCGAAAATAATGCTTCTGTTCTCTTCTTTTTCTAAATCTTTTTCTACAATATACGTGTATAAGTTTGGTTGTGGTGAGCATGTTCTTGGGTTATATCCGCCATAAAAATATAGTTGATTCTTATAAGATACTACTGAATATTGACCAATTCCTGAGAGATCAAAACTTGATTTTATTTTGCACCATTCACGAGTATTTAAATCGAATTTCCATAAGTCGTTATAATAATTAGAACGATTCCAACCACCTAGGCACCATAAACTATCACCATAGACAACGGTACGTAAACGTGAACGAGAGCAAGGACCATCTTTATTATCTACCATGGGGATCCATTCATTATTTAATAAATCATAGGAGTATGGGAATTCTGTATGACCATCAGGTCCATAGCCTCCAATAATATAAAGGTGATTATTATGAACAACTGCACTGTGTGAACGGATACATGGAGGTGGGTTACCTTTGGCTGGTACTATCTCCCATATATGTGTATCTAAATTAAGACGGTAGAAGGTGTTGTTTGATTCTGTTCCATCCCAACCTCCAAATATATACATATAACAATCATAGACTACTGCAGAATGGGCTGATCTCCCCATTGGTTTTTGACCTGTACCATTAATGGATTCTCCTTCTAAAGTATCCAAGTTTAGTTTCAAGATAGTTGTATCTGAATAATTCCCAGTAACACCAGAGTATCCACCAAATATATACATTGAATTTTTATAAACTACAGCAGAGTGCTCAGTTTTTTCTGGTAGCTTTTCACCACTAGTTTCTATTGTATCCCATTTTCTTGATTCTAAAAAAGTATATAAAATTATTAGAAAAAGGTTTATTTTCTTAATAAAATAATTAGTTAAAAAAAAACACTTACTGAAATCAAAGGTATTTAAATCGCTCTTTACATCTTTAATAAATGTGTGACTATCTGGTAAATGACCACCATAGACATACATTAAATTATTATAAACAATTGCAGAATGACATACTCTTGGAGTTATTTTACCATTTGTATTTAGTTTGATAAGAAACATTCTCCACAAAGAACATTCTGATGCTATATTATTGAAAGTTTTACTTACAAGCTTTAGTGATTTAATATCTTTTACTATAATAAAAAAAATAAAATAAAAAAAAAATATTAGAATAAATAAAATAAATAAAATTTTTTTTTAAAAAATATTAATTTTTACAATCATCTAAAAATGAAAAAACATTTAATAAAACTTCGTATGGTAACATATTTAAACCTTCCCAATTTTTTCCATATATACACTCCATACTATTTTTCTTTTTGCTTATACCGCCAAAAGTTTTAAAAAACTTGGTAAAACTTTTTATTATAATTAAATTAAATTCCATTGAAAAAAATATAAAAAAAAAATTTATTATTATTAGTATAAAAAAAATCGTTATTTATATTGACATATTATTAATTATTATTACTAAAATTATTATTATTTTTATTATTAAGTTATTATTATAATGAAAGAAAAAAAAATAAAAAAAATATTTTACTTATTTCACATATATGTTTTTATAAAAAAAAATAAATAAAAAAATTAAAAAAAAACAAAATTAAAATAAATATTTACTTTTATACCTATGGAAATAAAAATTTTATTTTTTAAAAAATATCTATTAAATTATTGACCTTATAAAATATTCTATGCTCTATAAAAAACACTGTTTTTATTCACTGAAAGTTGAGATAAAATTAAATAATAATTAAAACAATTCGACTCTAAAAAAAAAAAATGGGATATATAAGTATAATTAATAAAAAAAAGATATTTGAAATGGAAATAAAATAAAATAAATATATTATTTTTTAAAAAAACACGATTTAATAATGTTTTATATATATAAATAAATAAATTATCAAACTTACGTTCTTTTAACATTCATTCTTTTTTTTTTTTGTTTTGTTTTTTTATTTAAATTTTTTTAAATATTATTATTATCAATAAATATTTAAAAAAATAAATTATATTATTATTATTTAAAATATTATTTTTTTTAATTATAAAAAAAAAAATATAATAAATATTTTTATTGCTTTTTTATTTTATTATTAAAAAAATATTTA